CTCTCTCTCTCTCCCTATCCTTCTTTTCCTGCCTTACCACCTCTCTCTCTCTCTCTCTTCCACTCCCTCTTTTCGAATACAGTTCGTCAAATATGTATATGCCCCGCACTTGTATATAGAAACATTTTGTTTACCATTTATATTTATTTATTTACGTGATTAATTATTATAAAAAAAAAATGATATAATAATATAAAGCAGGCAGTGCTAGCTTCTAAGGTCATCTATATTTATTATATTGTTTAGTTCAAATATTGTTAACTTTTAATTTTCTATCTAGTTTTCTCTGTTTGTAAATTGTAATTGTAAAAATTGTATTAAAAACATTAACTCAAAATTGCTGTGAAACATAAACTCACATATTTGAAAGAAAAAATGTCGCTTAAAATAAAAAATAAGTTGATTTCTTGTTAGATTTTAAGAATTTAATAATATTTAGCAAAACAAAAACTCAAACCAAACTCGAAAGATTTCTGTTGCAAGATTTTACAATTTCAACACAATTGAGGTTAAGCTATTTTTTAATACAATTCTTTAAATTTAATTCTTCATTTATTTATCAATTTAATATTATTTGGAATTTAACAAAATCTTGAATGTTTTTTAACAAAATTTGTTTGAAACCCCATTAATAAGCCTCTAATATAAAATATTACATAAGGTCTTGTATTATATATATATATATATATATGTGTGTGTGTGTGTGTGTGTGTGTGTGTGTGTGTGTGTGTGTGTGTGTGTGTGTGTGTTAGTATTAGTGTATGCATGCATGTTCATTTTCTGATACGAAACGCAGACGAAACTTATTTTTCGCTTCGCTGCAAATTTAAATAAAACGAATTTTTTCGAAGTGCTCTCCTCCTCGATTCTCAAGAATTCAAGTAGGCTCTGCAGTTTTTCATGCTTAGCTAGTAGTGTAGTATTTTTTTTTGGTATTTTTGTTGTGGTTTTTTTTTGTTAATAAGTATGTATGTAGGTTTGTTTGTATGTATGTATGTATGATGTATGTATATATGTTGTATGTATGTGTGTGTATGTATGTATGTATGTATGATGTATGTATGTATGTATGTATGTATGTATGTATGTATGTATGTATGTATGTATGTATGTATGTATGTATGTGTGTGTGTGTGTGTGTGTGTGTGTGTGTGTGTGTGTGTGTGTGTGTATGTGTGTGTGTGTTAGTATTAGTGTATGCATGCATGTTCATTTTCTGATACGAAACGAAGACGAAACTTATTTTTCGCTTCGCTGCAAATTTAAATAAAACGAATATTTTCGAAGTGCTCTCCTCCTCGATTCTCAAGAATTCAAGTAGGCTCTGCAGTTTTTCATGCTTAGCTAGTAGTGTAGTATTTTTTTTTGGTATTTTTGTTGTGTTTTTTTTTTGTTAATAAGTATGTATGTAGGTTTGTTTGTATGTATGTATGTATGATGTATGTATATATGTTGTATGTATGTGTGTGTGTGTGTGTGTGCGTGTGTGTGTGTATGTATGTGTGTGTGTGTGTGTGTATGTGTATGTGTGTGTGTGTGTATGTGTGTGTGTGTGTGTATGTGTATGTGTATGTGTGTGTGTGTGTGTATGTGTATGTGTGTGTGTGTGTGTGTGTGTGTGTGTGTGTGTGTGTGTGTGTGTGTGTGTGTGTGTGTGTGTGTGTGTGTGTGTGTGTATGTGTGTATGTATGTGTGTGTGTGTGTGTGTGTGTGTGTGTGTGTGTGTGTGTGTGTATATGTGTATATGTGTGTAAATATTTATATATGTATGTATGTGCGTATGATTGTTTTTCTACAAAATGCAGAACGTCTTTCGAGCCTTAATCAAATTGTTTTCCAGTTCTGTAAAATATATTCCATCAGCTCATAAACATAATCTTTCGATCTGTGCAGTTGTTTTCGTTGGAACTTGTTCGTCTCAAGATTTGATTCATAGCTCAAAAAGAAACGCTTCGAATAACGGATTCCAGCTGGTTTCCAGTGTTGGTTAGCAGAGTTCAGAACTAGAAAATTCCCTAACAAGTCCCAATTACAAAATTTAAAAACAGGCGCCAAATTTGTATATAGTCCAAATACAATAAATTTAATAAAATAAAAAAAAAAACACAACTGTTGTAAAAACCAAAATAAGAAATAACCGAAAGCAAAGAAAAAAAAAGCACTTATCTACAATGAAATATATATATATATAAAGATGTATATATAAAAATATATGTAGCTATAGTAAGTGTAAGGTAAGTCCATGACCAAGTCGAATCCGGGCCGGGCCGGGCCGGGCTGGGGGCGCACTCAGAGATTGGATGTGCTCGGATTGGAGCCGTGCCATTTGTAGGATCCGTAATAGATGAAGTTATTCTGCTGGCATTTGCGATCGGCCTCCTTGGGTCCGCGGGAGCCGTACTGGTATGGAATCGATGGCGTCTGCTCGCGCTCGATCTTGTGCAGAATGGGCGTAAAGATGCGCCACGCCTCGCGCAGCTCATCGGAGCGAACGAAATGCATTTGAGAGCCGCAAAACACGTCCAAAATGAGACGCTCGTAGGCATCCGGCAGATAGGAGTGCTTGTAGCGTTGCTCATAGGTCAGATCCAGTTCGGTCTCCTCGATGTCGAAGGTGATGCCCGGGCTCTTGGTCATCATCTTGAAGTAGAGCGCCTCGCCAGGCTGGACGCGTATGACCAGCTCGTTGCGCTTGGAGCTGCCCTCGAATATGTCGCCGGGCACATCCTGATATTGGATGCGCACCTCGGCCTTGCGCTCGTTCAGCGCCTTGCCGCAGCGCAGGATAAAGGGCACATCCTGCCAGCGTTCGTTGTTAATCTTGATGACGGCCATCGCATAGGTGGGCGTTGTGGATGTATCGCTGACCGTCGGATCATCCAGATAGCCGGTGCGCTCCTCCTCCGTCTTGCCGTCGGGATTGCCCACATACTGGCCGAGCAACATGTCGCTCAGCTGCAGCGGCTGGATGCACTTGAGCACCTTGACCTTCTCGTCGCGTATATCGTCCGGATGGCAACTGCACGGCTTCTCCATGGCCACCAGCGAAAGGATCTGCAGCAGATGATTCTGCATTACATCCCGAATGATGCCGAACTCATCGAAGTAGCCGCCGCGTCCCTGGGTGCCGAATGGTTCCTTGAATGTTATCAGCACGGAGGCGATGTTCTCCCGATTCCAGGTCGAGCTAAGTATCTTGTTGCCAAAGCGTATGGTCATCAGATTCTGGACCATCTCCTTGCCCAAATAGTGATCGATCCGATACAGTTGCTCCTCATCGAAGAGACTAGCCAGATGATCGCTCAGCGCCTTTGAGCTGACATCGTCCCGCCCGAAGGGCTTCTCCACAATCACGCGATTCCAACCCCTGCCAAGAGAGAGAGAGAGAGAGAGAGAGAGATGTGAAGATTATCGAGGATGTGCCTCTCTGGAGCGTACTTACCGCGTGGACATGCAAATGTTCTTGATGTTCAGCGTCACCTGGTTGTAGACGGTCGGCGGCAGGGCCAAGTAGAAGATGCGATTTGCCCTGCATCCGTGCTCGATCTTCTCCAGCTGCTGGTTAAGCAGCTGATAGCCAGTGGACACATCATACGGACCGGCCACATAGTCGTTCAGGCTCCAGAATTCATCATATTTCGCCTGCTCGTCGGCTTGCACCTGCATTGCGTGGAAGAAGTAATGCAAACTGGGGTAAGTGCTGGTTCAAACCCGCCATCTAATATTGCTTTCCTTTTATTTCAAATTATTATTATTTTTTTTAAACCTCTACCAAAAGCCGAAACACTGGGTTCACGAACCGAACCTCAATGAGATTAGTTCCAGCCGTGAACCGAATCAATCGTAGTTATTTTTTTTGGCTTGCAGCCCTGGCGCGAGCCAGTGCTGCCCATTTTGATATTTATCAGTCGATTCTATGCCGAATTAATCCTCCTGGAGACATATTCGAATTAAAGTTTCTCAAAATGTTCTTAAAATATTTTTTTTTGCTTTCAAAAAAAAAAAAAATGTTTTTGATACTTTTCAAAATCGAAAGATTAATATAAAATGTAAAAGAGACCTTTAACAAGATAAAGTATTTATGGCAATTGCGAAAACTGTTGCAGGAAATTAATAATGCCAAAAGGAGTCCGAGGGACATTTTTGGGACTGGAACGTACCTTCATGTATGTGTGACAATGGGCCTTCAGCTCGTCGAGGGTCAGCTTGGAGCGCGCATAGCCGCAGATTTTGGTCGGCTTGGGCAGCAGATCGTCGCGATATAGCCACCATAATGTCGGATAGATTTTCTTCTTGGCCAGATCACCCTGTACACGGCATATAACCGGAATTTAGACGCAATGGGATGGAGATAATACGGGCTGAACTTACCGAGGCGCCAAAGACGACAAAGGTGTGCGGCAGCTTGCCATCGAACTGGGTGCCCTCGCATATCATCGTGGAGCAGTTGAGGCTCTTGATGATCCGGTCCAGATGGCCGCTGGCCTGCGAGCTGTTGTACTCTAAATAGAGATCGAGAAAAGGAGATGAACTAACAGAAATCGTGCTCAGACGCAGACTCAATCTCAGACTCAGACTCTCTCAGGCTCTTCCTGCTCGGATATTGGACTCGATCTGGAGGTCAGCTCTATGTCGTATCGTTCGATGCGCTTCCAGATGCGTAATAAATAGCTTGACTTTCAGCCGACTATATCTTGGCCCCAGCTCATACCTGTATGCCAGATAAGTGCACCAACACACACATATATACATGCATCTATATAAGTATATATATAAGTATATATAAGTATATATATATATATATATATCTGTTGGCAATTACAGCTGAAAGTCGAAGCCCGAACCGAGACGCAAATCGTTCGGTTGCGCGTTTTTTGTTCGCATCGTTTTTCGGATATTTTTCTATCTATTTCTTTCCATCTATTTCATTTTATTCGAAAAATGCACAAAATGCACAAAAGTGCACAGACTCGAGCACCTGTTATTATTGCCTTGATATGTTGTCTAATGCGATACGAGCCAGAAGTAGTACGTGCTTCAAGATTTCCACAATTGATAATATTGAAAAAAAAAAACAATTGTCAAACAACAAATTTGTTCAAGTTCAAGTTTAGTGCACATCGCAAGATCAGATAGTTAGGATCGTTGGTGGGGCAACAAAATCAACTCTATTTTAAAGGTAAGTTCTATTGTAAGCATTTTTGCAATGCAAGAAATCAGTATAATCATAGAGCCTCATAGAATTTATCGATCTAAGGTTCTACAATTCCAATTTAAAGAAAAACTTGTTTGGAAAAAATATATATACATTTTTAACTCAAAAAATAACGAAAGGCAACTTGATAATAATCGAAACAAAAATTATTATAAAATTCCTTATTTTTTTTTAAACATTTTTAACCCAATTTTTGCGTATTTTTCCTAATAATTTAACCAATTTAATGCATATTCTTTAACAGTTTGGCAGCACTTTTCAGAGCGCGTTCGAACTCAGCGAGTGATAACTGTAATTACAACAACTGTTATATGATGAATGAAATTAAGTATGTATGATCATCTTGTTATTGTTTTTTATTTTTGTTGTTGTTGCACTTTTAACTGTCATTTCTTGTTGTTCTCTTTATTTCTCAGCTCCTGCACAGATGACTCAGCATCGTGTTTGGCATTGGACTTGACAAGGCATTGGAGCACAGTTTGAAAGGCTTTTTATGCACGCATACATACGCACACGCACAGGCACACGCATGCATATGCACATGCACAGGCACACGCACACATACAGCTGTAGGTATGTAAACCATTTAAATATGTGTACATTATTTACGTGTACATTTTCAATGTCATTAACATTGGCTAATTCTCAATGCTATTGCACGCTCTATGTCTCTCCCTCTCTCTTTCTGTTCTCAACTTTAACTTGAAAGGTTAACATTGGCGCACTAATCTTTGGAGTGAATGTGAATAACAGCAACAAGAGGAACAGCAACAGCAACAACAACAACAGCAGAGAGAACAACAGATAATTGCGGAGTGAGGTAAAGTGATTGGAATTGCGATAAGCTGCCGCCACTTTGTAGGTGACCCTTTTGGCTGAAGAATACAATTTGAAGGGCGTTCTCTCTCTCTCTCCCTCATATACACTATGTGTCCCACCTGTTGCGTTTACCACCTTTCACAGAAACCCCCTGCCCCAAGCCATTGCTACACACACACACGCACGCTATTGCATTCATTGAGGATTGCATATCGTAAACGTATATCGTATTTGACTAGCTACTTACCCATTTTTAACATGGATGGCTCTGCTCTGTTAGCTGAGTTAAATGATTTGTTTACTTATTTTGTTGACAGCTTTGCTTAAAGTATTTATATGTATATGTATTTTGTAATTTTAGCAAATAAGACAAATAATGACGCTTGCTGTGTTTGTGTGTTTCCTCGGGTTGCGGCAATTAAGGCTAAAACAATTTGTCAAGCTTTTGACCAAAAATTTAAATAAAGGTCAAGTCTACAAAATTGTGATTTCAGCTTCGGTTGGCAACACGCACACACACACACACGCACACACACACACACAGCTGCACTTGCACGCAAGCGCAACGTGAACGAGCTTTTTATATTTATATATATGTATATATAAATTTATATATATATTTCTTTTCTCTTTTTGTGTTGTTATTTTATACCACGTCGTGTTGCTTGTTTGAAAGTTTTTTTTTTTATTTATTTATTTGAGCGCCGCCAGAGCCCTCTAAAAGAAACGATATGTAGCTTAACACGATCGCAGCGCGAATGCGCCAAAGCAAATGTTCAAAGCGCACATGAAGCAGCGGCAATGGGCAATGCCAGCGGCAATAACAACAACAACAACAACAACGCCAACAATACAAGCGCGCGCCTTGTAAAAACAACAACCAAGAATGAAAAAACAAGAAGAAGACGAAGAGAGCGCACAAAACTTTTGATATTTTCAGTTTGAATGCGGCAGTTGAGGCCAATGTGCCGGTTCTCTGTTGTGCATAACAGCACACACATACACAGACGAGCGTGCGCGCGCGTGAAAACACACACATACTGTGACACACGCCCACACACACTGTCAGTGTGTTAGTGTGTGCCAACTCATTCTCAAATTGAGAGCCGTGGAGTAGCCAGTGTTGCCACAAAGCATAAACAACAAAAATGCTTTTCATATTGTTAAATACGCCCATTCTGCAGAGTCATGTTTGTGATTACATTTACATGAACCTAGACCTAGCAAATACATGGGTATAAACAACAGTTGCATAATGCACTCACCTGTGCCACAACACAGCGAAAGTTCAAAATGATAAGCCAAAATGGTTGTAATAAAATGATTCTAATTTGTTTGAATTGAATGTAAACAATCGCGAATCGTAGCATGATTGCGAATCCATCAACAGGTGAATGAAATGAACATGTGTAAACGCAAATCCGACAAATCGCAAACACTTGGCTTATCGTGTAATGGATACTGATAATGATAAAATGTTGCGAAATGTGCGTACAGTGAACACTCGCCTAACGAACATATCAGAGAATATATTTTAACCAAAAAATAGAAAAGTTCGCAAACATTGATTTTGTTGTATTTTTTATTACGAAAATTGAGCTTTCAAATGAAATGCTGAAAAATAGACTATTTGCAATTTGTTGTTAAACAATTTCGAATAGTTTATCTACAGTCATTTGTATTTGTGTATTTGCTATTTTGTATAATATTCTTCGAGCTAACTTTAGAGCGGACATCATTTACCTTAGGGGTAATCTAATGGGAGGTAACAGAGCAGGTGTCCGTCCGTTCATTTTAATTGGTTCGCTTTAGGCTAGTTAATTTAAAACGCCAATAGTTTTGTCTATTATAATGCATATCGAAATAGTTCTTTGATTTATATTTACAATCAAACTAGAAATAAACGTTGAGAACAAAATAAAATTACAATAATTTTAGCACGATTTGTGTAGGACAAGAGTCTAAAGCCGCGTATACATATACATATAAATATACATTTATATATATATATATATGTGTGTGTGTATATATATATAACTATATATATTTGTGTATAGCACATGCAGTTAACACATATTACAATTTTATTGTATCATTTGTTGGTGTTGTTGTTTTGCTGGAAAATTCGACTTGTTCGACTTGGTTTGTTCCACGTCCTATTGGTAGACATATGCATGTTAACATAAATAATCGATCTGCTCATCATATATACAAATCTTAAAGTCTCGATCTCGATTTCTATGGTCAGTGGAGCGCAGGTGATTGATTGTTTGGACATGTACCGTTAACAGAGCTCCTCGGCACTGTCAGTAAAAGAGTACAGAGTGTAGAATTACTCGATTTCTTCGCTCCTCAAATTCCTGTATCATTTCATCGATATCATTATCGATATCATTCGATTTCGCCATCTGCAAAGTGACCAACGCACCAAACACAAAAATAGGGATACATTAACTAATCCAACATCTGTTCAAATTTGGCGTGTTTGTTATTCATTGAATTTACCAAATTGAGCATGTCCGTTATTAAAAATGCGCCCATCAGTGCATCCTCCGCATTGTCGACAACATCGACATTTAGCACATGTACGGGCCGATTATCCACCGAGTCCATCGATTCCATGTGCATCACAACCAAATCGTAAACACGCTCCTCTACGGTTATTATAATATCAAATTGCTCTTTGGTTTCTTGAAAGCGTTCCGGGCATTTTTTGATGCGCCGATTCCGGTCCAGCATGTGCAGCAGCCCGTTTTGTGTGTAACTGAAACGTTTGACGGCAATTGATCAACATGATGAGTTTGGCATTTTTCGCATTTAGTTGCACGCACTTACAATTCTTTGTCCTTTGACTCTAGGTCACGGTAGATTTCCTCATAGCTGGTACCAAATTCATAAACGTTGGGCTTGTCAAATGCGAGACCGGGCAGCTTGACCCGTTCACCGGTGCCGTAGGAGCGCACATTGAAGCCCTTTTTTGCGAGAAAATTGTGCGCCTCCATGGAGCGATTCATGTTCGATGAACAGACCACAGCAACGGACAATTTGCTCGGGTCAGTCATTGTTATTTGGCAGTGAAAATTATTACGATAAAAACCAGTAAAAATACGACTTAGAGATTAACAACGGAATGACGATGGCCTTCGTCAATATTATTACAATGCGTGAGGTAAGGCGATAGACGGCCAATAAATAATGGCGGTCGGCCGATAAATGCAACAGTGCTGCCCAACTAATCGATTTTGTGCCGGCTCGATTCGATAGGTGTGACCGCATGTCACAGACAATATTGTATCGAAATATACTCACAACAGTTGTGGCAACGCCAACAACTTGTTTGACTGTTACAAAAAAAACGTTACAAATATGAAAAACATGTCAAATGCAACCGTTAAATATTTTACTCTCCCATTTAAATTGTACATTAGCTAAAAACTAAGAAAAAAAAATCAAATTACGCGCCGTCTTAAATATTATACAGCAAAGATATAGCAAGATAAGTTTTGGTTTGAAAATTTTCATTATGAAAATCTATATGTATATTTGTATGTATGCATGCATTAATGTACATGTGCGATGAATGTTTGGTATGCAAGTTGAAGTAGACACAGAATGTTGTTATGTGGCAAGTTGCTACAGCAACAACCAGACGCCGAGAGCTCCCTAGCTAATGCAAAAGAGCGCACGCCCTGTGCCCCATCCAGATCCAGCCGGAACTCGTGGAATGCGGCTTAGCAAGTTGAAGCTACCGCAGTCGCTGCCGCTGCTTGTGGCACACCAACACGCGCTCAGTTTGCCTATACCTGGGACACACATACACACGCGCACACAGCTACAATTGCAGATGTGCAACATAGACAGAGCGCCCGATCAGGTTCAGGTTATTTGCTTGTTGCACAGTGCATCAGCATTCATTAAATTTTGTTTTATTTTTTGACTTTAGGTTGCATTTGGTAGATAAATGCAAATCGTTAACTAACAAAACGGTCACACTTACAGCTAAATTCGAACGATCCGGCTAGTTTGCCAAGAAAGATCCGGCATGTGTACCACGGTGCGGCGGTGCTGTTTGTTATTTTAGCGTCAGCCTTGCGTTCGCTCTATCTCTCGCCCAGTGTGTGTGTATGTGTGTGTGTGTGTGTGTGTGTTGCCTTGTTAACTGGTTATGCGAAGAGTGGACGCAGCAGCCCCTGCGGCTAGAACCAACGGCTGATGCCGACTGCGAACCTGACGACGGCGACTGATAGTCGTTCTTTGTCACTTGATCGCTCTCATCGTTCACTTGTCGCCCGCTCCAGCCACACACACACACACACACACATACACTCTCTCTCACACACACACGGAGACAGCGATGGCAGCCAGACTCTCCGCTTGGCCGTTTTGTTTTGCTCTGCCGTCCAGTTGCTGCTCGTGCCTCAAACCCGCCGCGTCGCGCTTCGTAACAACGCCTCTTGGCCAGAAAAATGCCGCTGCTGTGGCCCAGCTTGGCCTAGACCCGTTCATCGATATACATTTTCATTTCAACATATTCAATTGCTGGCTTCGCAGATTTTGGCATTGTTTTTTTTTTTTTTATTTTTTTAATTAACTTAGCCATGGCTATGCAAATGTCACAGACGCCGCACGGAAATTAAAGAAAGAAAAAAACCGACAACAAAAATATATAACAAAATAACAAAAAGGTAAACTTGTTTAACAACTCGCCGAATTGCATTGCACACACACACACACGCACACACACACACATACATACATACACATGTGCATATTTTTATGTTTTTTTTTTTTTTCGGTGTTTTGTGCATGTGCCAAATTGCAAGGCAATCAAAAATTTCGCCTCAACTCATCTGTGGATTCGTGTAAAACAACAAAACGAAAAAGAAAGACGAGAAAAAATACTCTTCTCTGCAGTTGGTCGCACTTGCAATACCCTTGCCGTGCACAAAATACATGGCAAATATTCAGTTATTAACCAGGGCTGCAGGCTCGACAACAATTTGTCCTTGGTCCGGTTCACGGTTCGGCTCGGCGTTGCCAGCCGTCGCTTGAAAAACGCCAGCTTAGTACGCTGTTAAACAAAAAGAAGCTAACAAAAAAAAAAAAAGCTGAACTAGCTTTAAAATTGGTTTGAAATGACAAGATATATAGATATATATAGTAGTTGAATGTTTTTAAGAGAGATTTCTGAAGGCTGCAATTTATTTTTAAGTCTTAGATAGACTTTTACTCCCAAGTTTACTCCCAAGTTAGTTTTCTCAATTATTTATTTTGATAAAAAAAAAGGCAAAGTCGATAATAAATTGTAATGCCCATTGGCAGGGTATTAGCGAAGGCAACGAACTGGCTTTGGTCAGCTAAAAATGCTGCTTAATTAATTTGAATTGTCTTTTCTACATAAGTTCGCCAAGGATAATTTCGGTTAAGGCAAATTATCGAGTATTTGGTAAATCTGAAATATGCCAAGTCAGCTCAGATTTAAATGGTTCGCTTGGGCAACTTGACTCTACGTGTTTTTAGCCACTTAATTCTTGGAGGCAATTGCCAGCTCTAGCTGAGCGTGCGAATGGTTCTGCATTCAGTACGTCTATCTAAGTATTTGAGCATCTATCTACCTAGCCTAGCCTACCTGGCTGCATGATGAGAAACGCTAAAGAAAGCCATTAAAACGGTGCCCAGCCAAATGAGCGGGGCGGTGAGTGGGCCGGAGAAGTGGGGAATAACTCAGTTAAATGGCGATCCTCCGTCTATGAGACTCGACTTGGTCAGTTGCATGAAGTTATTAAGCCAGCTTATCGGGAAACATATAAACTTATTTTGATATTTATTCTGTAGAGGGTTATTCCGCCCATAAACAAGGTTTTTTGGAAATTCCACAAACAGTTGCGGATTTTGCGAAAAACGTGAAACGCAGTGTGGTTCGTTTGTCACCAATCAATCATTCAGTCCGTCAATCTGACAGTCAGTCCGTCAATCAAACAATCAATCAGTCAGAGTAAGTCTGTCCGTCAGTCAGTCGATCAAACTGACAGTGAATCAAACAGTTAGTCCGTCGATTAGACAGTCAGTCAGTCAATCAAACAGTCAGTTCGTCAATCAGACAATAAGTCAGTCAATCTTTAGTCAGTTAGTCAGTCAATCAAAGAGTCAGTCTGTCAATCAGTCAGTAAGCCAGTCAATCTTTAGACATTTAATCAGTCTGTCCGTCAATCAGTCAATCAATCGATCAGTCACACCATCAATCAGACAGTCAGTCGATCAAACTGACAGTCAATCAGTCAATCTTTGGTCAGTTAGTCAGTCAATCAAAGAGTCAGTCCGTCAATCAGTCAGTCAATCTTTAGTCAATTAGTCAGTCAAGTAAGTCAATCATTCAATCAATCGTTCAAACAGTCGATCAAACTAACAGTTAGTCAGTTTGTCAGTCAATCAGTCAATCAGTTATTCATTATTCGTTATAATTAGTAGCTTTCTTAGTATTAGTAATATAATTATAAATTGTAATTATTATTGTTTTATTTTAATAAATAACGTTTCAGTTGCATAGACACCGCGGCACAAGGTAATCATTATGTGAACCAACCGTGGAACTGTGAGACAGACTTACCCAGGCAGCAGCAGCAGGAGCAGGAGAAGCCGCCGCAGTCGCAGGTGCCAACGGCAGCAAAACATAGCAGTTGGAGGAGGAAGAAGCAGAGCAAGGCAGGGACTAACTAGCTGGACAGGAAATGCTGAAGCACGCCTCGAATGCGAGCACGGCAACTGCCGCGGCGCCTGTCAACGGCCAGCTGCTGCGCACGGCCAACGGCGGCAGCAACAACAGCAACAGCAACAACAACAACAACAATAGCAGCAACAGTAGCAGCAATAATCCACCCTCAGCGCCGGCGGCAACAACAGCAACAACAACAACAGCAGCAAGAACAAACGCCACCAGCCCCGTGCCAGGCGCAGTCGCAGTTGCAGCCGCAGCCGCAGCAGCAGCAGCAGCAGCAGCGGCAGCGGCGGGCACTTCACCAACACCGGCAGCAGCTGCCGTTGCGAGCACCGCACGCAATATACACCTGCGACCGCCGCAGCCGCTCAACATATCCGCGCTGAATGCGTCCGCGTGCAGCGCAACGCTGCTGAACGGTGCGTTGCGGTCGGGCGGGGGCGGTTGCGGGGGCGGCTCGACGCTGCTGAATATTGCAACGGCGGCGACGCCAATGAAGCCGTTAACGCCGCTGACGCCTAACGGTAATTGCAACGGCAACAGTCTGCATCATCATACGTATACGAACCAGCATATGTTGGCCAGCAGCAGCAGCAGCAGCCATCAGCAGCCGCAGCCGCAGCACCTGCCCCAGCATCCACTGCACAACAACAACAACAACAACAACAATATGAACAACAACAACAACAACAACAATCTGCACAATTATAGCCACTGCAACAATTTGGGCATGAATCCAAATTCTGTGCTGCAGGCGAGCGTCAAGCCCACAAAACATGGCCCGGGACCGCGCGAAGTGCTGACCAGTCTGGGTCTGCTCTGTTTGGGTGAGTGGCAGCACTTTTCTTTTTGGCATTTATTGGCGCCATTTTCTCAGGCAAGCCTGGCAGCGCTGCCATCTAATAGTTCGTTCGGCTAAGCGCGGCTATCACAGTTGCGCTTAACTTGCAAGAGAAATTCACTTTGTTTTTTTTTTTTTTTACCTTCTTGTGTTGCTTGCAGTGCAAATTAAAGTGCATTTTTGGCAATTGCCTATTGTCTACTTGAAGCTGTCACTTGGCGGCAGTTTAACAGCAATAATCATGTTTTGTGGCAGCGTTGCCACCTAACAGTTTTCTTTGCGCAAGTCCGTTAGCTTTGAAAAGCCGTACTTTGTTTATTTTAACATTTCAGAGTGCATTTCACTGATATTTCACTTATTATTCTGATTGCAGTTTCGCTGCTGTTGGCGCTGCTCTCGCTGATGTTTCTGCTAAAGATCTCGCCGAACAGCCGCGAGGATGCGCTGACGCGCAGCATCAGCAGCGAGGATTTCATCATCGTCTACGATGTGACCCTGGCGCTATGCGCCCTGTCGCTCTCCCTGAATCTCTGCTGCCTGCTCGTTTGCGCCATACAATTTCTGTTTGCCGTCAAGCTGTTGCGCTCACCCATGTTCGATGGCCGGGACAACAAGTATCTGGAAAAGTCGAGTGCGAGCCGTACTTGCGCTGTCAGCGGCTTTTTCATCTCCATACCCGTATTTCTGACCGGCATCATATTGTATACGTTTAATCATTTCCATTCGACGCCGGCGATCATCACAAGCATCCTCATCGGCGTGGGCATTGTCTTCTGTGGCGGCGCCATGGTCCACAATGTGTTCGTCTGGCAAAAGGAGAAGACAATCAGCTACCGGAGTCCGCCGTTGCCGCTGAACATGTCGCTGCTCTCAACGGCGACGACGCAGCTGCCGCCAGTTCAGCTATTTAACAATGCCGGCTGCCAGCCGATGATGCCGCTATTTGGACAACAGAATCATCATTCCATGCTGCAGCATCATCCCACATCGGTGACGCCCGTCTCGCCCAATCATTCGCACGGCAGCTTCAATCCGCTGCTGTGCGCTGCCAGCGCCAACAATAATAATAATAATAATAATGGTATCGGTGGCATCATCAATTCACCGTTCCTGGTACGTCCGGCGACGGCGACGCCGCCAACACCCAAACCGATTGCCATTGCTGCCAATGGTAGCTGCCTGATGGGACGCGAGGCCAGCGGATCGGTCAGTCCAGGCATACCGCCCACGCTGGATATGAGCAACATAACCATATCGCTGCATGAGCTGTCCACGTTGGTCTAGACGCCAAATCCATGCCAGTCCCAGTGCCCCCACAAATACAAATAAGCGATAAGCATAGCCGTTTAATTTAAATATATAAGTATCTGTTTAGTTGTAGACGACATCCACCGTAAAGTGTTTAGCTTTAATGATGTCCCACTTGCCTGCCGCCCTGCCGCCCTGTTGCCGTTTATGTTTTAAACTGTTGTATATATTTGTATATAGTTATAAAGAATTTTTAATACATATTTAATATATTTAAACTTAACGTCTCCCCTGCGCTCAATCGCCTGCCTGTTATCGATATATATATATATCGTTTTGTAAGCTTTGCCAAACAATTGGGCAACGCCAAAAACACATGCCAACAGTTTGCAACATTGTAAATCATCAGCTCCTTTTTGTTATTTTGAATTTCTTATGTCGTTCGCCTGCCCTCCAATGACTACTATCATTGTTTCAACTGTTGTATATAATTGTATATAACTATAATGGTTTTTAATACATATTTAATAGATTTATATTTTTGTTGTGTTCGATGTGTGCAATCGATTATTTCGCCACAAATCGAACAACGAAGCTCGCTGTTATCGATATATCGTGGCCGTGTAACATATGAAGTTTAAAACTGCCAAAAACGATTGGGCAACACCAAACACACATTCCAACGGTAGTTATTCCCATTTAAAATGTTTGAAATTCCTTGTGCAGATGCTTCAAATATAACTTTGCCGCGTCTTGGCAATTTAAATCCGATTAACAAACCAAAAAAAAAATAAAATAAAAATTCCAAGCGAATGTTAATTTTGCAACAACTTCTGCCAAATAAGTAAGTTTGTGTGCGTGTGAGCTCTACTTCTTGGATCGGCCCCGTTTCTTGGGCGGCACAGATGCTTCACTTACTGAAAATATGTAAAATTGTAATTAAGGCTGATTTAAATGAAAGCTGATCGCTTACCGTCGGGCACGTCTGCTGCCGGTGCAGGCGGCTGCTCAGCTGGCGGCACCTCCAAGGTGCTGCGTCGACTGCGCAGATTCCTGGGTTCGACTGGCGGCGCCTCCTGTTTCTGCTCCTCACTGCCGCTGGGCTTGCGTGCACGTCTGCTCCTGGCGAGCAATAAAGCCGGCGGCTCACTGCAGCTGCGATGTTTACGTGTGGGTGTGCCGCTGTCTGATTCCTGTCCAGCGACGCCGGCTACTGAACCCCAGCTGCCCACGGCCGGACTGCTGGCCAGCTGACTGAGATGTGTGCGCGAACGTGTACGCGGCAACGCTGGCGATTCGCCAGCCTCCTCAATGGCCTCCAATGGTCGGGCCAACAGCTTTCGCCGCCGCTTGGGCGTGGACACCGGCACCGTTGAGATGGGCGGCAAGGAGCTGCCGCGCAAAACGCGACGCGTGCTGGCCACAGAATCGTCGCTACGCAAACGCCTTTGCCTTTGCGCTGGCAGTGCCACCGGCGGCGTTGCGGATGCAGCCGTGGACGCGTCGGGGGTCAGCTGCTCCTCGCTGAGCGCGCTGTTGCTGCGGCGACGGCGCGAACGCAGCTGGCGTCCGGTTACTGGTGACGGTGTGCTACGATTGGAGGATTCACTGCGACGCTGATCATCGCTTCGCAGCCGTATGCTGCGCTCCGGCACCGGCGGTGTTCCGGTTAAGCTTTGGCGGGCGCGTTTAATGCGCACCAACGGCTGCCTGGAAGCCTCATCAATTGTGGGCAGGGATGTGGCCACAGAGACGCGCACCGGCATCTCCACCTCATCCACCTGCTCCTCCCCCTCCGGCGCCTGCTCAGTATCGGATAGAGTCAGGCAGGGATCAAACTCCACATCGGAATCTAGACTAATGGGCTGCTCAAGTGCGCGTGGAGCTGCCTCTGTCATCTCCACATCCATAACCAGTTCGGCGCCATGATCTGTCGCCTTAGCAGCGGGCACTGCCATCTCCCTCTCCATGTGCAGTTGATCCTTGTGCTCGCTAAAGGCAACCGTGGCCACCGACTGGTTGCTGGAACCGGCATCCGATGGAGTAATCAACACAATAGCAGTTGGTGCAGCTGGTCTAGATGGTGCTATCGACTGTTGCAGCTCGGCGCTATCCAAGCTGTCCAAGTTGATGGTGTACGAATCGCTGTTGGCCGTTGCGCCCAACGAGGGGCATGGCACTTGGGTAGCAGGCGGCACGGATTCGTCCTGTTGCTTGAACGCGAACAGCTCGGCGCTGCTGCAGGCAGCCAGCGGCTCCGGACGCGCCACATAGCCGCGCACCTCGGTGCCATCGAGCGCAATGACACACTCGTCCTCCTCGTCCAAATCGTCGTCCTCCTCCAAGGAGCCCTTTGTGGTGTCCAGATCATCCACCGTCTCCAGACTGTTGGCACGATACAGCGAACGATTGGAGCCACCAGCGGCGCCGCCATGAGCCGCACGCGGCGGACTCGATGTCTGCGAGACGTTCGTATCGCTGGGCAGAAACGAGGTGGGCGTATGCGAGGTGGGCGAGCGGGAGTTGCTGATCGAATTGGTCGACTCCACAACAATGGAATAAACCGGCGCATCCTGACGTGCTTGTCGTGTGCCGACCACACCCGAAGACATGTCCGATAGTTCGCTGCTGACGCTGTAGCTGGGCGAGTCGCGATTGTAGTTGAGGGTGGCGGGCTCCTCGTTGCTGGAATGCGAGCTTTGCTCCTCCTCCTCCTCATCTTCCTCTACTTCCTCTTCTTCTTCTCGCTGTTGTTGTTGTTGTTGTTGTTGCACTGGCTGCTCCTCCTGAACCTCCTGCTGCTGCTGCTGCTGCTGCTGCTCCTCTTCCTCCTCCTCCTCTTGCTGCTGCTGCTGCTGTTGCTCCTCTTCCTCCTCCTCCTCCTCATCTTCATCCAGGTCTATGTAGGCCGTAGTAGCTGTTATTTTCGTTTGCTCCGCCGGCTGTGACTCCTGTTCGGCCGCTTGCTCCAGCGCCAGCGTCATATCATAGCTGGACATGCCCAGCGTGGTATCCAGCATGCGCAACATTTGTGGCTGCGTCGGTGGCTGCAGCAATGAGGACGGCATCGACCATGCCTGCGGCGATGTGCCTACACTCGGCTCATCCATGTCGCCGCAAATGGTCGTGCGCTCCGAGATCTTCACTGTGCTGCTCGTGCTGGCCACCTCGCACATCTTCGAGGAGCAGACAGGCGGCACAAATTCATTTAACTGCAACGAACCCGTCGTACTGCCCATATGGATTGTGGCAAAGCTGCCGAAGCCGCTGCTCTCCTGCTGGCTGCTGCGCGCCAGCAACAAGGAGCCGCGTGGTTGTGGACCAGTTGGTGGCGCCATTGCTGCACGTTGCTCCTGGCTGGAATCAACAAAGGAAACATTGGCCGAGGCCAACGGCGACAAGTACTCGGAGTCCGTGTCCGAATTGGAGCCGGATTCGTTGGGCTGCTGCTGCTGCTGATCCTGCTCGTGCTCGTGCTCCTGCTCCTCCTCCTCCTCGGGACTGGGACTGGGACTGACCGGCTGTTGCTCAATTTCCACAAATATTTCATCGGTGCCCTCCTCCTCCTCTTCCATCTCTTCAGCTTCCTCCATCACCATCATCTCGACATCCTGATCACTGGCCGTCCGCGCAAAGTCATCCAACGGAATTGGCGGCATAAAGCTGAAGCTCTGCCGCTCGGCCACCAGGGGCTGCGCTGACTGGCACCTGGAACGACGCCGCTTCAGTATTGTGGGACGCAGCTGCTCCTGGTTAGTGACTGCTGCGGGCTGCTCTTGCACCGACTTGGGCATCAAATAGACGGGCGGCTCCAAGAGCGCGGCCAGCTCGCGTTCATCATGCAGCATTGGCGGCTGCTGCTCCTGCTCCGGCTCCAGCTCCTGTTCGGCCAGCTCTAGCGAACGTTGGACAAAGGTTTCCAACGCATTGCCGAATTCGAGGCGCGGTCGCTTCGAGGGCTGCTGCACAATATCCCGGCTACAGGCGGCCAGATTCGGATTGAGCATACGCTTCTCCACATACTGGAATTGTGTAGGACGCACATGACGACGCAGCTGTGGCACATCCTTGACCGATTGGGCGGCATTACGAAGGAACGGCATATTCCGGCTGTTCAGCGTCTGCGCCTGCTTCCCGTTGGCATAGCGTGTGGCCCAATGGGCGCTCAGGGCGGAGCTCTGAAAGATGTTGCCCAGCTGGCCGTTGGCGTTCTGCTTGGCCAGCTGGCAGCTAAACGGCTCCGGCGATGGATTCCTCAGCTGATCCCCATTCAGTTTGTCGCGTATGCGAAAATATGTGCCAGCTATGGATTGGGTAACGGGCGCCATGGTGGTGCGATAGGCGGACAATATGCCGCTCGTCTCATCATTGGGTCCCTGCTCACGCTCGGCGGCCACCTCATCCATAAAGGACACGGCCTCAATGTACTTGCAGCGCTTGAGCAACAGAATCAACTGCACACAGTCCGTGGCCCGGGTCTTGCACTGGCGCAGCTGGCGATAGACGAGCTGCTCCTCGTGTTCCCGCAGGCACAAGGTCGCCAGCACCGTAAACTTGCCATTCAGTATGCAATGCCGGAAGAAACGCTCCAGCAGCGGTCGACCATCGTCGTCCATATAGATGCGTGCATGATGAAATGCCTCCGGTATATTATTGTTGGCAAGCAGCACCTGCAGCTTTAGCTCCGACGATATAAAGCCCGGTGGCATGTGCACCACCTGCATTGCCTCCTGATTGGCTCTATGGGCGAGCAGTGTCTCAATCAGATGCTTGGTCTGCCATTCCGTGTAGCTGCTGTGACCAAGGCGTCCTCTATACAACACATCGATCGTTTGCTGAGAGAGAGAGAAAGAGAGGGAGGTTAAGAGCGAGGCAAGACTTCATTTAGAGCGAGACAGACTGATTGATTGACTGGCTAGCGGAGCTTACCTCATAGTCACCCTTGTCCAGAAACCAGAAGGAACGCGCACACTTCAGCAGCGGCTCGGCTATGCCGAAGGCCATGGCAAAATCCTGATAGAGTGGCCTTTTGCGCTTTGGCACGAGCAGCTGGTCCACGTCGTGCAACACATACAGCATTAGCTCGTGCTTGTGATCCAGCTTGGCATCGGGCAGCAGCATGAGGCGCATCAACGATTGCAGAGTGCGCGGTGGATAGAGGCCATCCTGTTCGCTTTGGCGCTGCAGTCCCACCTTAAATCCGGAATGCTGCAGCTGCTCATCAATGTAGAGCCTGATGTGTTGATTCTGACGGGCACGACGATCGGCATACTCGCGCCGTATGAGCTGCAGGGGCTGCTGCTGCTGTTCGCTGCTCTCCGGCAAAATGGCCCGATCGATCAGCCAGTAGAGTATGCGCTGGTATTCATATAGAACGGTTACCGCGCGCTCTGTGGCGCTCAGATCCTCGACCAGCTCGTGGCCGAGGCGTGCCTTGCCCAGCCGGACTAGGAACGCTTGCAGATTCTGCAGCTTGTAGAGCTGGCCGTTTAGCTCCTGGTACTCTTTGCGCTCGCGCTCGTCCAGCGCATAGCCGCCATAGTCAAAGATGCCCTGACAGAGCTCCGAGCAACGCGTCTTGATCTGGCCCGCACGCTTCACGATCCAGTTAGTCAGTATGGACAGCGTTAGCTTGGTCGGACTCATCATGTTGCACAGATAGCTGCCGTCCATGCAGTTCCTGGCGCAGCTGTTCAGCAGCCAGAGACGATCATGTTCCAGTCCCATCGACAGCAGCATCTCGTACATTTCGCGCTGCAAAAAAAACAAGAAGCAGCATTTAAATGAATTTTACGTATAATTGATTTTTTTGCACCTACCCTGGAGAGCGAAACATTCGGATCGTATTCGTGGAATTGCGGCAACAAGCGCAATTCTATGATCTCCTCCAGATAGTACTCCGGATTGAGGAAGACATTACCCTTGTTGTAGTACAGCGAGTTCAAGAATCGACGCTGGACACCCATGTACTCAAAGTGGCGACAGCCCGTAATTGTCATCAGGAAGCAATCTGAGGGTGGGCGGTTAGGTTAGTCAATCAATCTTGTTATTAATGCGCTTGCAAAGCTTTAAAGCTAACAAGTTTTAGGCAGATTTTAGTTTTAATGTGCTTTAAAGCTGTTAGATGCTTTTTACAAGCATTTAGCTCTAGCTGACAATATGATTCGAAAGCTATTTAAAGCTTTCATAGTTGTTTGTGTCAGTATATATACTTTTTAGGATGCCAAAAGCTCTTTAAAGCTGCTGAATTAAATCAACACAAAGGCAAGTTAGTCGTGAGCCTCTTTAGATGAGCTTTAAGTAAGCCTTAATCTTAAGTCAATTAAATGAATACAGCTTTTAAGCTGTTTCACGTGCTTTCAAAGTTTTGCAAAGACAACTCACCAAACGACAGTGCCTTGGGATAGTAATAGTCATCGTGACGCTGCATGGATATGAAGGGAATAATGGAGCGCGAGTCCAGCTGCATGCTGAGTGCAGCATACTGGCCGCTGAAGACGAAGCCGCATAGATAGTCGAGTTTCTCGTCCGGTCGCGGCGAGCTGGGCATTTCGTCCTTGTACCATTGATTAATGTCGAACAATATGAGCTTGTTTCTGTTATCCGTGTGCGAGTGCCAGCTGATGGCGGTCAAAATGGTGCCATAGTCGCCGGATAGTGCAAATGTTGACGCTGTGCCGCAGCTCATCAGCGAACAGCTGCCATTGTCCAGCGCAAGGCGAATGCGCGTGGTGGCGCTCTGAAAGTCGCGCAAATCAAAATCACAATTCTCAACGGACAGTGCGGAGCGTCTGTAGTTGAACGAGTGCAGCGAGGCCATCAGATGATCGCCCGAATTGTAAACGGAGCATATGTAAAAGCACGGCTGCGGATCATCCGGCGGCTCAATGCAGCAGAGACCAACAACCGGCGCCGGCTGCTGATCGGCTGGCATGCGCAACTGTGCCACGAGCTGCAAGCGTCTCAGATCATAGGCACAGATGCGTCCATCCTGCAGGCCGGCAGCAAAGCCTGATATCAATGGCAACGGTATCAGGCTGGTAATGGCATTCCGTGCCGCAACGGGCATATCAAACTCGAGCGCCACATGGACATCCTGTTGGCGACAACGTCGCAGCTTCCCATCCAGCCGTTCCAGTACAGCCGCATCGCGCACAGACAGGCACATGAGATCGCTGCGCTGAACCTCGCTATCCGGGAGCACAACGTTTGTGGAGCGATTGGCAATCGTTTGGCTGGCGTTGACATCCATCAGCAGCACGGTGCCGGCATCTGTGCCCAGTGCCAGGCAACCATCGAATTGTCGCAAAATTGTGCCCGCGCACAGGCGATCGTTCAGGAAGGTCATCGATCGGACACTAATGCCCGCCGCATTGAGGTCAATATAGCGCAGCACCTGACTATTTGTGGGCGTATAGATGGCCAGCTGTGTCCTGCCCGACACCATCTCAATGCAGACGGCCAACAGTATGCGGCGGCCAATGCCAGTCGGGAACAGCTCCTGCACGCAGCATATGCTGCTGCGCTGCTTTATCTTGCGCTCATTCTCCCGCAGAAATGTGTAGCTCGCCACGCGGTAGCCATTGCTCAGCTGGCATATCAGCAAAGTGGCCGCATCCGCATTCTGGCGTGTCAGCCAGCCCCAGCTGCCGTCATTTATGATGCCGCCTATATAATCGGCTGTAAGTGCCAAGAATATATATGCATAAATATATATATATATACATACATGCATTTAAGCGCACAACTTACCTGCGATGCTGCGCTCTTCGATCTGCTTGCCAAACACCTCCTCATATCCAGGTATGGAGCGCTCCGGAAATTTGGATGCTCGGTTATCAATCAAGCCAATTTCATGCCACTCCATTGCTAATTAATGTGATATTTGCATCGAATATTAATGAAAATTGATGGTTGTTTAATGGGCGTAATTCACTTGGCAGCTAAGTTTCGTGTAATTTCTGTGCACTCGATTTAAGATAAGACTCTGAATTGATTTTGTTTTTCTAGCTAGCTAGATTTTAGTTTTTGGGCAATGCGCTTCGCTTTGACATTTTTGCACACATGCCGGCCGTTGTTGTTGTTGTTTTGTTTGGCTCCAGACGCCGTTGCTCTGGCAGCAGACAGTGTTGGCAAACGCTCATATGATTATATCGCCGGTTATGCAAAGGCTAGTTTGCGATATGTGAACTGCAAACGAGGCGCGATTGTTAAAAATGAATATTTATATATTAATACAATTAGGAATAAGCGCTCGAAGCAGTTGAAAAATTCGTTTGAAATAAATCGTAGACAATTTAGCAGTTAATAAGCAAAAGTTAAGTGATCGATGTAAGCCCTATTGTGATTAATTGCCGCATAAGCAGCAATATTTGATCATATTGCATGAAAACAGCGCTGATTTATACATTTGAAACGCCCACCAAATCCCTTTCAATAATTATTCGCAGCATCGCGAATATCATGGAGCAACACTGTGTACACTCAAGAAGCCTATCGATTCATCGTGTATCGCACTTAATTTGCAATCGACTCAGCATGCTGCGTTCCTTGCAGACAAAAACGTAGCCCCCCGGAAAAAGACATATTTTTACTAGCTCAAATAATTTCAAATGTGAAACACATTCTATTTTAAATGTGGCTTCTGGTTTGCGATACGTGTAAATGCGACTTAAATACCAACTTGTAAGCCATATAAATTGCATAGAGCGATACCGACACGACAGTACGGCAGCTAAGCAGCTAATCGCAATCGCATACGTCTGGGGGCCCTAACCGCATTGGCGAAAAAATTCCGCACAACATCACCAGCAGCAGCAGCAGCAACACAAAAATCGAAAGTACACACGCGCGCGCAACAGAGGCGGCGGCCAAGCCAAGAAGTAGCAGAAGTATTTAGCATTAAACCCAGATCGAATACCGGCAAACCGGGTAAGACAATAAACAGTGTGCATAAACAGTGTAAACATTCCAGCAAATAGCAAATGGCAAGGATGGCAGTATTTCCGTTACTTTAGACAAACACGCATGCACACACACACACACGCATACGGACTCTATTCAAAGCTTAGCGTGAAGGAGAAACAACTTTGCAGCTAAATGTGCGCCAATACAAGTGCAACCATTTACCAACACTTGTACAAATTGAGAGATAATTATAAAAAAACAATGTAAAACAGTTAGCTGCAAATTGCCGAAGTTTGAATACCCTACCAAATATGTAACATATGTGTTTTCTTAAAAAAGCAAAAAAATCAAAACATTCCAATTGTCTGATTGTGCGCTTGTCAAAGCATATTGAAGCATGTCTTTACAGATTATGTTTAGGATATCTTGAAAATACTGAAAATTAAAATAGTTTATCGCAAATTCGTGGCCAAATGCCGTTTGCCGTTGGAGTTGCCTGCTTGAATGTGTTACACGCTTCGTGAGCGAATGCAGTTGACCTTTGGGGAGGGTATACGCCGCAAAAGAATTGCATTTTTAATTGAATTGATTGCAACATTAATTTGTAATATTTGTTTTGTAGGTAAACCCAACACGAACATCGAACGATATATATATATTAAATAATACATATATACACAGAGCAGAGGATGGCCCAGCATGGCGTTACGGAGGCGCTAGCCGCAGAACTAGCCAAGGCTGTGGACTTGATAATGCATCCATTGACCGTGCAGCAGGCACGCCTCGAGGCATACACGGCCTGTGAGCGCTTCAAGGAGGAGTCGCCGCTGTGCGCTCAGGTGGGACTTTATTTGGCCAGCTCCGTACAGTTCAATCAGCAGGTGCGTCATTTTGGGCTGCAGCTAATCGAGTACACAATCAAATTTAAATGGAATTGCATAACGCACGAGGAGAAAGTCTACATTAAGGATAATGCCATCAAGATGCTAAACATGGGCGTTGGCCCCGCCGAAGATCGCAGTCTCTTGCATTTAAAAGACGCCCTTTCGCGCATCATTGTCGAGATGATCAAACGTGAATGGCCGCAACAATGGTCCGATCTGTTGCCGGAACTGTCTTCGGCCTGCAATAATGGCGAGGCACAAACGGAACTCGTGCTGTTGGTATTCCTGCGCCTTGTCGAGGATGTGGCACTGTTGCAGACCATCGAATCGAACCAGCGACGCAAGGACATGTACCAGGCGCTCAACAACAATATGAATGACATATTCGAGTTCTTTTTGCGGCTCGTCGAGCAGCATGTGAACGCGTTCCGTGAAACGACTCGGCTGGGCAACTATCACAAAGCGAACGCACATAGCCGGGTCGTCGAGATGGTGCTGTTGACATTGAGCGGCTTTGTGGAGTGGGTCAGCATAAATCACATCATGTCCAGCAATGGCAAACTGATGCATTTTCTATGCATTCTGCTTAACGACAAAGCATTCCAGTGCAATGCCGCCGAGTGCCTCGCACAGATCACAAATCGCAAGGGCCAAACCAAGGAGCGCAAGCCCCTGCTCCAGCTGTATGGCGAGGAGCCGTTGCGCTACATTTACACAGCCAGTCAAATGCCGGCGGACAGCGTCAGCGCCCAGGCCATTGAACAGCAGCACAATTTCCTAAAGAAACTGATCCAGGTGCTTAATGGCATGGTACAGCAATTGGTGGCGCTGTGGGGCAAGGATGAGGGCACACAACGGCCGGCGCATTTGGACATTATGTTCGAGATCCTGTTGCTGCTCGTGCAGCATCCATCGCTGACGATTGCGCATGGCGCTGCGCTAATTTGGCAGCTGCTGCTCAAGCACGAAGGCTGCTCCAAGGACTATCTGATGGTCAATAACATTCCCAAGCTCATACACACCATAGCGCCGCGCATTGTCAAAATACCCTATCCGAGCAGTGTGCCGGGCCAGCCGGATGCAGCGCTCAACAGCACCGAGGCCTATATACGCCTGGAGTACGACAGCGAGGAGGAGTTTGCGGTTTATTTCTTTCGCTGTCGCACCGACTTCCTGGAAATATTCCGCCTATCTACGCTCGTACTGCCGCTCATCACCTACGGCTACTGTGAGCAGTGGCTGCAATTGCGTCTGCGTCATGCCCAAAGCGAACGAGAAAGCGCCAACATGAGCTGCAGCGTACTCGATCCTATCTATCTGGAATGGGATGCGCTTGTCTGTGTGCTCGACGGTGTCCTCAGCCGCATATTGCTTGTCGCCGAACGGCCAGCGGTAGCCGGCGGCCTGCGCCTGCTGGAGGAGTGCCTCAAGCTGGAGACCAGCAATCCGCTCATCTATTCCATACTACTGTCATGCATATCAGCGCTGTTTGTGTTCCTCAGCATGTCCTCGTGCCAGCTGACACCCAACAATTGTGTTGCGATGAGCGGCGTGGCGCTGTTGCCGCGCGTTCTCGACAAAATCTTTCGTGCTTTGGTCTTGAAGCCGCCCAATGAGCTGGAGAAAGTGCAACAAAAGTCGGCCAAGAATTTGCGTCGTCATGCCGCCTCGCTGCTGGTCAAGCTGGCGCATAAATATCCACTGCTCTTGCTGCCCGTGTTCGATCAGATCAACAATCATGTCGAGTGTCTGCTAAAGGAGCCATCGTCGCCTTACCTATGCCGCATGATGCGCACAACGCTACAGGAGGCGCTCATCCTTATCTCGAATCATTTCTGCGACTTTGAGCGTCAGACCCTCTTCATTGAGCACATTGTCCAGCAGAAGCGCAGCGAATGGTTGAGCTTTGGCGAGGCCTTTAAATCGCCGCTAGAATTTATGCGTTTTGTCGGTCTGGACAAGCCGCCCGTCTTTGATTTGGACAGCGATCCATCGATTGTGAATCGTTCACGCATTTTGGATGCCTTGCATGTGGTACTGGGCGTTGTCAAGCGCTGCACCTGGCCCGATGATCCGGATCGTGCACAACGCGGCGGCTTTGTCATCGGCTGCACCGATCTGGGCAATCCCATATGCCGCAATCCGGCCACCAAGCATGTGGTGCCGCTGCTCTCGCATGTGCTCAGCCTGATGCGTGTGCTGAACGAGTTGTTCCGGCCGGAGGCGCTGGCCGGCCTCTCCGAGGGCTATCGCAATATACACGGCATGCTGGAGCACGAGAAGAAGCTGCTGATGGGCATATGCGCCATACCGGCCGATCCGCTGGACACGACCATTAAAAAGGAACCGACTGCCTTTGAGAAAATGCAGACATTCATGACCCTGGTCACCGAGGGCTGCTACCATCTGATGGGCTCGGCCGGCCCCTCGCTGGGCCGTGATCTCTACCAGCTGTTGGGCCTGTCCGATGCCATCATTAGCAATGTGTTCAGCTGCATGGACATCATACCCGACTATCGCATGCGCCCCATCATACGTGTCTTCTTCAAGCCTTTTGTCTACTCGTGCCCGCCCACCTTCTATGAGCCGGTGCTGGTGCCGCTCTTTGCCCATTTAACGCCGCTGATGTGCGAGCGCCTGACCCGCCGCTGGATCTACATATCCTCGCTGTACGAATCTGGCCAGCTAAATGGTGAGGTCAACGATACCCAGGAGGTGCTCGAGGATCAGCTAAATCGTACGCTTACACGCGAATATCTGGATGTGCTGAAGATTGCTCTAGTCGGCGGACAAATTGGTGCGGATCATGTGAACGCCGTCGGCGGTGCCAATGTGGTGGCCATGGAGAACGAAGAGCACTCCATGGACAGTGCACCGCAATCCCGTGCCGCCCAATCCGCCCTGCTGTCGGACATTATCAGCGATCTGGGTGGCAAGCTGCTGCGCAACGGCCTGATTGGCAACTACATCCTGATGACGCTGCTGAAGGCGATCGCCTGGAACGATGGCATGTGCAACATGAAGGCTGTGAATATAGCGGCGCCCGTTATGCGCTTCCTGGCCGCCGAGCAGCTAATGGACGAGAATATGGCTGTGAGCGCATTTACAGCCGTGCTCCAGGGCATGCAGGTGCATGGCCAGCACGAGGCCAATCAATCCGGCCTGATCACACTCGGCGTTCAGTTCTATGAGCTGTTGCGTCCGAAATTTCCCGTGTTAAGTGATGTGTTGCAGCATATACCCAGCGTGAATGCGGCCGATGTGCAAAAGTTCGATGAGAAAATCTCTGTGGCGCCCGTCAAGGGCAACAAGGTGGATCGGGCCAAAAAGGATATATTCAAGAAGCTAACCGCCCAGCTGGTTGGGCGTAGCGTCAATCAGCTGTTCAGGCACGAGGTGCAAATCGCCAACTTGCCACCAATGCAGCCGGTTAGCCAAAAGAATGCCAGCACCAATACCGGCGACATCATGGACAGCAATCAGAATGCCAATCTGAGCAAGCTCTTCCGCACAGAGAAGTGACAGGAGGCGGCGGAGGAGCCGTCCCGATGCCGCCGTGCCGCCGCGGCGACGACTGAACATAAATTAATTGTAAACTAGTTAAGCAGCAGCTGCCGCAGCCGGAGCCGGAGCCGGAGCTGGTGACGCAGCCGGAATAGGAGCTGGTGCCGGAGCCGGTGCCGCTGACGGAGTCGGAGCCAGAGACTGGGTCTGCGTCTGCCCCAAAATAGTTGCAGCCACGATTTCTGGCGGTGCTTCCAAGGCTTGCCACAGACAAGTCTTGCAACACACACACACACACTCACACACACACCCCCTTTTTTTTTTATATATATATACATATATTAACTTTTTGCTATTATTTATTGTGTAACACATCTAACGTTTAAGTTCCTCCAGGCGCACTGTGCGTAGGCTGTATCCCACTCATATCCAACCCTTCCCCCTACACACACACACACACACACACACGCCCCCCCCTCTAGCACGCTCAGCTGCTTTTTATTACATCCATTTTCGGCAGTCGAGGCATGCAGTTTTTCACTTGTTAGGCGCCACAGCAGCTTTGTTATTTATTGTTCCGAAATTTGTTAATTATTTTGCACAAAACACGAAAACGACAAACGAAAACCGATAACCGAATACAAAACAAGAATCAAAAACCAAAATTAAAAATAGTTAAGAACGTCAACAAAACTACAAACAACAACAACAACAACAATAACAATAACAAACACCAAGTTAATGCTCGAAAAGCAATAAGATCGTCTCAGCATAGTTCAGCCCAATTTTTTATACCATATAATAGCCAACAAAATATTCAAATTTGTATATTCGAAAGAAAAACAAAACAAAAACAAAAAAAAAACGAAGAATGCCCTTTAAAGAATAATATTGTATACATATTGTATTTATATATATATATTTATGCATATATATATATATATATATGGATATTTTCAAGTAATATTGAAATTACGCTTAGGGTTTAGTTAATAAGACAGGAGTTATTATTATATAATATGCATCTTGTATATGGACACACACACACACAAACACAAACACACACACACACATCGGGATACAATGCGAGTATATTTTACAATATTCAAACTGAAATTATATTTTTAAAGTGAATAAAACGAGAGAAACAAAAAAACAAAAACGAACACGAAAATAAACTGAAATAAAAACACAATACAAAAATAGTTAAAAAAAAAAAACACAAAGTGCCGTAAAGTACAGACATTTATTCGAGAGGATCCCATATTTGGGGATCTCTCAAAAACGGGTTAAAATAAATAATTAGCAGCCGCTTAAAACGTGTTTAACTATAGTATATTATTAAAAAGCAATTGTTTAAAAAACGCATTTCCTAAACAACACGATCGATTCAAACGAGCCTTCTGCATCATTTGCCAGTTATTCCAAACATAAGATATATATTGTATATATATATATCTGGAGTTTCTCAATGCACAATAATCTCATAAGAAATTTGTAGCTTTAAGCGCAATATGATACATTTTTTATACTCGTATGCAATTTTTTCCTACTCGGAGTTCACTTTTAGCCTATGACAATTTAATAGTATATAAAGAGTATATATATAATACATGAATGCAATTTTGAAATAAAATCTGCGTGTGTGTATATATATTGTATATATGATAGATAGATAGATCAATTAGCCGCCATGCCGATTATCGCACAGATTGCTCCAGTCGGGCACATGCTCGTTCCGCAGATACGACTCCTTGGACAGCGAACGCGTCTGTATCAGATCCGTGGCGCCGCACAGTGCGCCGCCCAGCCAGGCTGTAAAGTTTTGCTTGCCAATTGAATTGTAGAACTTGAACTGCAGCTCGCCGTGGAAACGCTCTCTGTAGTAGCTATCGTTGGCCAGCAGCTGCTGCAGCTCCTGCTTGAGTCGCGGCAGGAGGCCCAACACCATGGCACCGCCGCCAATCACAAATATGCTTTCGATCAGCGCACGCCGCACATCCATGCTGCAGTCGAGTATGGCGCGCAGTATCAGATGCGGCAGGCTATCGCGTTCATTGTTCTGCTCGAACATCAGCTCGTAAACCGATTCCCGAACGGTGCCGGGTATGCTTATCACCGCATCGCCATCACATATCGCATAGTCTACGCTGGGCGGCGGCGGCGGGGGCTGCGTCTGGTCGCTGCTGGCCCGCGCCTGGGCACGCTCATAGCTGTTGACAAAGCAGGTGCGTATCTTGATGTCCTCCAGCACACTGGACGTTAGCAACGGCTCCTTGACGCCTGTAGCCACCAATTGACGCCGGATCTCATCATGCACAGCGCAGCTACCGTAGCTATGATCCTTGAACGCGGACAAAATCTGCACACCACTGAAAACGGGCATTATGGTTGTCTCACTGTAGCCAATGTCCACAACCAGGCCCGTGGGCACCGCCAGCGTCGAGAGCGCGATCAGATGGGCGGGCACAAACAGCACCGAGGAGACATCGAAGTGAATGAAGAGCGCACGCGCCAGCGTCTCCCGTATAATCGTCTGCCCGAATATGTTCTCGACAATCACAAATTTGCGCTCCTTGGGACTGACCAGCAGATGCCTGGAATTAATCAGAAATTAAATAGATTCCGGCAAACAACTTGTTGATGAGGGATTCACTTGAAGAATATGGTTTGCAGAAAGTCCACAATTTGATCGTACAGCTGCTCGGTGCCCACATAGTCGAAGAGTCGCTTCGTCACGCCCGTTGTGGTCAGCACCACCGTTGTAGGTATAATCTTACGTGGATAGGCCTCCGCCGCAAAGCCTAGCCTGTAAACCGAGTGCGATGATATCATCAGACGAAAAAGTAGTTTCGTGTTTGAATTGTTTGTTACTTACTTGGTGTAGGCAGTGCCAATATCCAGAACAATTGGCGGCTTTTCTTGCATTACGCTCTCATACAGTGGCATAATTTAATCGCTTTTAGTCAGCTCGCCAGCCGTGAAATTTAACTAAAGCTAAGATACAAAAATTAGTAACAGCTGCGGTTGCAAATAGCGATTTCGATAACAACACAGCAGATACGATATTGAACATATCGATACTTTTGTGCGATATTTTGGAATGTGCAAACTTTCAACCACCTGCAGCCACAGTTGTCACATGTGATACAAAAATTGAAAAAAAAAACGCGTCCACTATGTTTGCAATGGTATAAAATAAGTACATATAAGTACAGTTTATAAGTATAGTTTATGGTACAAATTAATTTGGTTAGGTGGCATCCTTGGAAGCGACTTGGACTAATAAATGTGTTATCGATATATTGTGACCAACTGGTCAGCTGTTTGTATATCGTAAACAGAAAGTGCGGTAGTGCTCCTTGGTTTGTTTATCTGTGCACCATTTGTTTAATTCGCTTTAATTGTAGCATACAAAATCATATTAATAAAAAATGAGTTTTATACAATTCGAAAGTGCACGCGAAAAGGAGAAAGCACGTCAGGACCTCAGGGAAGCACGCGCTGAACTCTTAGAGCAGGTAAAAAAAGTGTAAGCAGAAAAAACCGTATTAAATCGAACATTTTGTAACAGGCAAAATCGAGGGCGGAGGAGCGCAACAAACGCGAAATTCAAAAGGAGCTGCGCGGCGAAAGCAATTGGATGCTGCCAGCGCTAGCTAACAAATTGGACAAGTTGAGCAGCAAGTCCAAGAAGTCCAGCAAAAAGAAGAGCAAACACAAGTCCAAAGCGAAGTCGTCAAAATTGAAGAAGTCATCCAAAAAGAAGCGCAAAAAACACAAACACAGCAGCAGCAGCAGCAGCAGCGATAACGATGGCGACAGCGACAGTGATAGCTCCACTTCCAGCTGTAGCTCTGACTCGGACAGAAAGCAGCGCAGCCGCCACAAGAAATCCAAAAAGAACCGCAAGCGGAGCGGAAGCAGCGCTGACGAGTGGGTGGAGAGCGCGCCCGCACAGGCTTTGGTGCAGCGGGACAGCTGGATGACGGACAGCGCAGCTCTAATGCTGAAAACCTACTCGAAGGAGCGCAAGGAACCAGCCAAGCCCAACGAGAAGCTGCAGCAAATCGATGCTTATGACCCGGCCAAAAGCTGCCACGAGCTGAATCCCTATTGGAAAAGCAATGGCACCGGCCTGCCGGGCTTTCAAAAGCCCAAAGCCGACGAAGATGAAGAGGATGCGCACCCAGCCAGCCACGCCAGGGCAATACAACAGCCACGTGGCAGTACACGCAGCTGGCAAAAGCCCGGAACAGTCAAGGACTGCGGCAGCAGCAGCAGCAGCAGCAGAAAGAAGCGTAGCCCCTCACCAGCTAACTCAGCTACAGACGCCAGCTCCGGCGAGGAAAGTGAAACGGAGCCAACGCATCTGACGGATGAGCAAATCAATGAATTGGCCGCCAAAGCAATTAAAGCCGAGCTCAAGGGCAAACCCGAACTGGCGGCTGAGCTCAACAAGCAGCTGGAGACGGCACGAAAGCAACGCACCGAACTCCTGGCCAGCGGCAAAGCGCCAGCAGCAAAGCCAAGCAAATCACAGCAGCGGCAGGAACGCGATCACGTGCTGCTCACACGAACCGATGCCAGCGGCAATGTGCGTCCACTTGTCCAGTCGCGCTCGGCAGCTGCCCAGGCGGATCCCAATGCGCTATACGGCGGACGCAAGGGCCAAAAGCGTGGCCAAAAGAAGGTGGACACGCATGTGGATGGGCAGCGGGTGCGCTACTTTGCGGACGATGATCGCTACGATATCAAGCAAATGGTAAACCGTAATCTGTTTGTTATTTTCCTTCTCTTGACCGATATCTAATTGCTTGCATAATTTGCAGTTTGAGCGCGAGAAGCATGCGACCGCAGCTGACTCAAATCTGCAGTACGCCGACATCGTATCGAAGCACAAGAATCCCAATGATGATCTGGAGGATATATTTGCGGATCGGGTGCGCAAGAACATCACGGAGGCGGATGCGGAGCAGCGTGAACTGCAGCAGGCAATACGGGAGCACGAGAAACTGGCCGCAACGCTGGAGAACTGTGAACGCTGCTTTGACTCGGCCAAGCTGGACAAGCAGCTGCTGGTTGCCATGGGCAACAAGATCTATCTGAGCCTGCCCTGGCACGTCGGCCTGCAGAGCGGCCATTGCATATTGACGACCATGCAGCATGTTTCGGCCAGCACACTGCTCGACGAAGATGCCTGGGAGGAGCTGAGCAACTTCCGCAAGGCACTGACCCGCATGTTTGCCGCACAGCGCAAGGATGTTGTCTTTTATGAGATCGCCAACAAGCTGCATCGGCGTCCGCATCTCACCGTCCACTGCATACCCATACCGGAGTCGCGGGCTGAGATGGCGCCTTTCTATTTTAAGAAGGCCATCGAGGAGTCCGAGCAGGAGTGGTGCATTAACAAGCAGCTGATCTCACTGCGACAGAAGTCCCTGCGCGCTGCCATACCCAAGGGTCTGCCCTATTTGTGGGTGAACTTTGGCATGGATGCGGGCTTTGCTCATGTTATCGAGGATCAGGAACGTTTTCCAGCCAACTACGCACAGGTTTGTAAACATTTCTTAACTATAATAATTCTCTTAATTAATTTTGATACTTTTAGGAAATTATTGGTGGCATGTTGGAGCTTAATCCGAATTCGTGGCGCAAACCGCGCAAGGAGCAAAACTCCATTGCCAAGGTCAAGTCGTTTGCGGAGGCATGGCAAAAGTTTGACTGCACCGAACACTAGGTCGACGCACTAAAACCAACTTCGTAAAATTTAAATTTGCTACAAAAAAAAAAAATAAATAACGTAAAATAAGCATGCGTTATTGTTGTTATATATTAAAAAAAATATCGTGTATCGACTCTCCATCGATGTGTATATAAATCGATATATCGATAGGCGGTGTATTGTGAACATTTCCAACACTGGCAATTTGCTCAGATTAGGTGGCAACCTTGTCAACGACAATAACCGCAGCCAACTTCGAGCGTCTTGTTCTTTTTTCCGGTTGACTTTGACTAGCAAGGTAGTGCTCGCGTTCGTTTACGTGAATATTTTTTTTTATTGTTAAATTATTGCTGCAAATGCAAGGCAATAAATGAAAATGTGTGTCCACTAAAGTGCAAGAGTGAATGTCACAATTGAATTACTTAAAAATGATATAACTTACATTAAATACTTGAAAAAGCGACATGCGCTGAAATTCGCAGAATATTGTTGTCTTTGTTTGCATGTGTGCGTGCGTGCGAGTGTGTGTGCGTACGTTTGCGAATCGCAACGTGTTTTTTGTATTATTATTTTTTTAAATCTCTTTAATGTTTGTATTTGTGCTTTATTCTAGATGCCAGGTGTCACAGTGAAGGATATTGACCAGCATGCCGTTACCAAGGCGGTCGCAGTTTTCCTTAAGAAGTGAGTATGGAGTTGGAGGCACTGCACAACACTGCGTCTGTGCGTACATAACCTCACAAATGCGTTTGTTTGTATATAAATCTGTATAATATTCATATGCATAAATATGTTTTAGGACTGGCAAATTGAAGGTGCCCGACCAGATGGACATCATCAAGACAGCCAAATTCAAGGAACTGGCACCCTACGATCCCGACTGGTTCTATGTGCGTTGCGCCTCGATTCTGCGTCACCTTTACCACCGCAGTCCCGCTGGCGTTGGCTCCATCACCAAGATCTACGGTGGCCGCAAGCGCAACGGTGTGCATCCATCGCACTTTTGCCGTGCCGCTGATGGTGCTGCCCGCAAGGCGCTGCAGGCTCTTGAGCATGCCCGCCTGGTCGAGAAGCACCCCGAGGGTGGCCGCAAATTGAGCTCGATTGGACAGCGCGATTTGGATCGCATTGCCAACCAGATTGTGGCCAAGCAGCGTGACGCCGCCAAGCAGACTGGCCCTATTGTTATTTCCAAGTAAATTGATTGTGTTGTACCCGCGTGCCTGGACACCGCACCGAACCAATCCCAAGTCTATAAAAATAATTTAGACTTCTACTGTAAGAGTTTTTTGTTTGCACACAAAAGATACGAGAATATAAAAACAATTCACTAAAGTCTACAAAAACAAGCGTAAATATGCACAAAATCGTTTTCTTTGCCCAAACGAAGCCATCAATGTATATACGGCATAAGTAAAGGCTGTAAAGGAGGCAACACAACAGACCAAGTCGCCAAGTTGGAGGCTGCACAGATCGTGAAGCACATTGCAGCAGTTCTTTAGCAAACTAGTTTCACATAAGATATCGTAGAAACGTAATATATATGATTCATATGCCGATTTCTCTTATTGTACCACTATACTTGCAGTTGAAATAGGAATTATCTTAGGAAATTGTGTCCTTAATCAAATTGTATATGTTTTTTATATGATGAGCAAATATCTTGCGAGTTTTCCATAAAGTAATGGCAGAAACGTGATCTATTTCGTATATCCCAATTAGGCTCGACTTTATGCAAATTCTCATGACGAGACTAGTTTGCATAGAAACAGCTTGGTTCTGCTAGCGATACTGATTGGGAATATATATGCTTAGTGGCGTCGAAGATGTCTGCGCAAGATATTGCTGGACATATTGATAAAAAGTCGCAGGGAATGAAATAACCAAAGCTGTGCACAACTTTCCATTTGATAACAACAGCTTAAACCGAGCCAAGTTAATAAGTACAAGTACAATTATATTATTTTCGCGCATTATAAACGTATGCCCTTAACAGAGATGTGTGAAGCATCAATTTGTTGTTTACGTAGAATGTATTTTAAATTTATGAACATGAGGGAAGGTTCATGAATGTTTTGTCAGAGCCTTAAGACTAGTTTGTATGTTAAATAGTTTACATTTAACTCATTAACCGGCGGACAATGCTGAGGTACGACAAACGTTCTATATCAGACTCTATCTAACGCCTCGACCATGACAATGCTGTTGCCGCGAATCACCTGGAATGCAATTGGTAAGTCTTAGTATATGTATAGTTAGATTAAGTGTCTAAGCGTACCACCATGCCAATACTATTCTTGGTATTATCCTTGCACTCCTCCACGGTATCGTCGAGCACCACGTTCATGAATGGATCGAAGCCGCGCAAGATGCCGGTGACTGCTCGGCCGCCATTCAGCTTGAGCATCATGCGTTTGTCCATGTACCTGTGTGGAGACATGCATTTGGTAATTCTTATAGATCGGCGGCATTAGGTACTTACTTTTTCAGCTCTGGCGGATGTGCTTTCGACATTTTGATTTAAAAAGTGTTTTGGTTTTTTGCACAATTAACAAAAATTGAGGCGAATCGACTCAATGTAAAAATGCGAACTCGTTTTGGAGTGACCGTTTTGTAAACGTTTGCGCAGTGCTGTAAAGTGCAACAAATGGAAACGCACTAAATGTGCTAGTGCTGCAAGCTGTGCCACAGCTATCGTACATTGTTTATGCTATGTGCGCATATATTTGGGTCATGACAACCGCAAACACGATACTATCGCGAGCATGGGCGATAGTTTTGCAGCTCTCTCGTAGCAACACAGCAACGATAACTGCTAGCATCGGCAATTAATAATTTTTAAGTTTATTTTTATTAGTTCTCAGATTGTGTTTGTTTGTTTTTGTTTACGTTAAAGTGTATTTATGTTAACTTGTTAGATAACGCAGCCAGCATTCGGTCAAGCCATGCGAATTGCTCATGTGAAAGTCGATTGAAAGCGCCTAAACACGAAATCTACATAAATCGCATCCGTCGCTGTCGCCGTCGCCGTCGCCTATGCCTCTGTGTACGTGATGTATGTGTGGATGTGCATGCGCCAGTGTTAGTGTGTGCCCGAAGACTTTGTCGCTGCTGTCGCCTTTTGACGGGCCAAACAAAAGGGCGGGTAAAAGAAAAGTCAACAAAAGTTTGCCCGAACGGGAACGAGGGGAAGCAGCAGCTCCCTGGCAATTTGCAATTGACAGCGCCATAACGGAACCATCAAAAATGTTCACAAAGAAGAAGAAGAAACCGCTGATCTCGATGCCGAGCAATTTCGAGCATCGCGTGCACACGGGCTTCGACAAGCGGGAGAATAAATATGTCGGCCTGCCGCTGCAATGGGCCTCCATTGTGGGCAATAACCAGATATTAAAGTCCAGCAATCGACCGCTGCCGCTTGTCGATCCCTCGGAGATAACGCCAACCGAAATTCTCGATCTGAAGACAATTGTGCGTCCGCATCACAATAACAACAAGGCGGACACAACATCGCTGAACAGCAGCAGCAGCACCATGATGATGAGCAATCCCTCTGGTGCGGCCGCAATGCTGCCCCAGCAACAGCAGCTGCAGCAACAGCAACAACAGCAACAGCTGGTGCTGCCCAAGACATCGCATGTGGCGCGCTCGAATTCGTTGCGCAGCTCCAGTCCGCCGCGTGTGCGTCGTGTGGCCAATGTGCCACCGGCTGTGCCCGAGGAGGAGTCGTCGGTTTCAGCTGCTGCCACGCCCACACCAACAATGCCTGGCCATGGCTTTAAGCCGCAACAGCCGATGCCACACAACATGCTCTATCCCAGTCAACACGCCCATGCGCATCCGCACCAGCATCCACATCCGCACACACATCCCAATGGCGCCGTCACAGGTCCACTGGCTGTGCGCACCGATCAGTACCGTGCTGCTCCGGGCATGCCGCAGCAACAGCAACAGCAGCAGCAAACGTCGCCGGTGAGCTCTGTGGCCAGTGCAACGCGTTCTACGCATTCGCATCACAACAACAACAATAACAACAACAACAATGGCCAGAACCCATATCCCATGTACCCTGCCTCACAACAGCAACAGCAGCAACCAAAACTTGTGGCCGATCAGAATCAGAATCCACATATCAATCACGCCAAGACAGCATCGCGCGCCTCCAGCTCCAGTGGCAATGCAGCTGCACTGGCCGCTGCCGCCCAAGCACAGGCTCAAGCGCAGGCCCAACCCAAACAGGAGCAGCGTCTGACACACGAGCAATTCCGTGCCGCATTGCAAATGGTTGTATCGGCGGGCGATCCGCGCGAGAATCTCGATCATTTCAATAAAATTGGCGAGGGCTCCACGGGCACCGTTTGCATAGCCACCGACAAGTCAACAGGTGAGTTGTTGCTGCTCGCATTTGTCCAGAAATTTAAGTACTATTTCCAACCAATTGCAGGTCGTCAAGTGGCCGTCAAGAAAATGGATCTGCGCAAGCAGCAACGACGCGAGCTGCTCTTCAACGAGGTGGTCATCATGCGTGACTATCATCATCCGAACATTGTGGAGACATACTCCAGCTTTCTGGTCAACGATGAGCTCTGGGTGGTCATGGAATATCTCGAGGGCGGCGCACTCACCGACATTGTCACACATTCGCGCATGGATGAGGAGCAAATAGCCACCGTTTGCAAGCAATGCCTAAAGGCTTTGGCCTATTTGCACTCACAGGTGCGTGACCAGCATGGGCAACAAGCCAAGCCGAGACCCAGCCCCAGCCCCAGCCACAGCCCAACAATTCAACTGCCAAAGCCTCACCCAATGTCTCTTTTTTTTTCCCCTCCCCATTTCAATGCCTTTCTATTTTCGTTCTTTTGCGCTTTCTTTCGCGGTTTGGTTTCAATTCCGAAATGTCGCCCGCCGCATATGTAATGCGATAGCTGGGCGCTCGGACGGACTCTGTTGTTGGCTTCTGGAAGCTAGCTAAAAAACAAAAAAAAAACACAAATTTTGCTGACCCAACCCCTACCCTGTAAACCGAAGTCAGCCAAATGTGCATAATAGGCTTAACCATGCATCTATCTATATATCTATTATCCATACTGGACAAGGCACTGGCCATAGGAAAGCATTTCCGACGACCAACCGATTCGATTTGGCCAAATGCGTCTAAGTGCGAGCCATATGTGTAGATCAAGCATAACATATCTGCAAGCATAACTCGAACCTTTGACGAGCTACAGATTGAGAATATTTCACTTTTTGGATCTTCCCAAGGAGTGCTAGAGCGGGAAATTGGTTGAAAATGAGGGCTTAGAGCTGCAATCAAAGATCAAAACTGATTTCAGATAGAAAGAGATAGAAAGAGAAAGGGAAAGCGAGAGAACACATTTCTGTAGCACAAGGTATCTTATAGTCGTACATGCCTGCTTGTTGCGTGCACTTTGTAGTTACAATTACAAAACACAAATGCGGCCTAAAACTAGTCTTAAGCTCGTTTAGAAACGGGTTTGACAAATTAGTTAAGTATTTTTAATTAACGGGTGAGAGAGGGAGAGGGAGAGGGACAGAGGTCACATGTGCCGTGTGCCGTGTTCCGTGTCCCGTGTCCCATAATATCCCATAGTCGTGCAGGCTCTGCTCTTTACTTTTACAATTGTGCCAAATGCAAAACAGGTTCAAAGCAGGCTCAAAAGAGGTTTCAAACAGGTTCAAATATTACACTGGAATTTGCGCCCAATTAGAAAGAGAGAGAGAGAGAGAGAGCGAGCGAGCAGAGGGTATCTCATAGTCGAATGTACTTTTCTATTACATTTACTGTAAACTAATTGCCATCATTCCACACAGGGCGTCATCCATCGTGACATCAAATCGGACTCCATACTGCTGGCCGCGGATGGACGCGTCAAGCTGTCGGACTTTGGTTTTTGTGCGCAGGTGTCGCAGGAGCTGCCCAAGCGCAAATCATTGGTGGGCACACCGTATTGGATGTCACCGGAGGTTATATCGCGTCTGCCATACGGCCCCGATGTGGACATCTGGTCGCTGGGCATTATGGTCATCGAAATGGTTGACGGTGAGCCGCCGTTCTTTAACGAGCCGCCGCTGCAGGCGATGCGTCGCATACGGGACATGCAGCCGCCAAATCTAAAGAATGCCCACAAGGTATCGCCGCGTCTGCAATCGTTCTTGGATCGCATGCTCGTCCGTGATCCAGCGCAGCGTGCCACAGCCGCCGAGCTGCTGGCGCATCCATTTCTACGGCAAGCGGGACCGCCATCGCTGCTGGTGCCGCTGATGCGCAACTCCAGACACCACACCTGAAGTGGTTGGGACACTTTGCTGATCTTGAGGATGACCGCAATGATGCACTGCAGCCATTTGGGACACGCTTGCTGCTGCTTTAGTTTTCAAACTCCACTTAAATGTAGTATTATTCACACTTTGGCTACGCTTTTAGTACTTGGCAATTGCTACTTAAACCCCTCGTAACCCTTCCCCCACGCACTATGCATTGTTAAGTCATTATGCCACGCCCTAAAGTACACACACACACACACCCACACAACCATACACACACATTTTACGCATTTGAATTAAGTATTCCATGGCGGCATTTAGCAAATGCTACACAATATTTTATATATATATATATTTAAAAAAGAAAACTCTCTAATAGTAAAACTCTCAAGCGATCCTCATCTATGTCACCCCTGCCCCTCCCTAACTACTTCTACCCCCTTTCCGTTCCCATTTTGTTATTGTTTCGTGTAATTTGTAACATATTTTATATGATATATGTCTACACATAAGATCGAACGCAAAATGTGCCTTTCTCTCGCGAAACAGACTAGGAAACATTTCAACGAATATTTAATGTGACCATGGAGGACAGCACTCGATTGTTATTGCCGTTTTGAGCCAAGGCGCAGAGCCATTGCAAAATGTTATTCTTTATAGACAAATATATATTCTCTTCAAGCGCCATTTGGTAACAGCTAATACTCGATCGAACGTGTTCTATATAGATCCAAACCAAAATCAATCCTAAGCTCTGTTCTATGCAAATGCAACATTTTCAACATTTTCAATATGTTTTTTAAAATTGAATATTTTGTTTGCAACTGTCTCAAAAGCGCAAGCGGGCACAGTTCTTGTCAATATAATGGTTTTACTCTATTATTAATATATATATTAATTATTATGATTATATTTTTTGTGTGGTTATGTTGAGAGCTGCATTAACATTGTTCGAATATATAAACAAATATAAAACTGAATATATAGTATATTTAGCATAAGCATTGAGAAACAACGAATCATAAATATTGCTCACATCCAACGAAAATGATGTACTGCTAAAATAACCATTAATATACATATATATATATACATATATATCATCTATATATATATATATAGATATGTATAAATATTTTTATATAGACGTAAGCAAGCCTGTACTTATTGTTGTCATTTGAACGCATGCTCCAAGCTAAGGCTCCATACAATCTACCCTATGTATAGCAATTATTTATATCATAAATAAGTTATATATTGCTCGAAATCAGATTTGACATTTGTGGACTGTTAAACCCAAGATTATACAAAATACATTCCCCCAATTGACCCACAATTGAAAAATACCAATTATAAGTATAAATATATACATCAATTTTTTTTTTTTTTGAAAAACATTCTGTTTTGTAATTATTAACAAATAAACACACAGGTATTGAAACGTGCGTGTTGTATTGCATTTTGTGCGTTAAATTTCGATATTATTTGTGCTTGTTTATCTTTTGAATTGGTTTCAATTGAACCAAACACAGATTTGTCCTTTGAGCTGGATTCAATTGAACCAAACACAAAGTTGTCTGTGGTTCGGTTCACGGTTCGAACCAATAGCTCGACTTTTCGTTCGGCTCGTGAACCAAGTTTTCCAAATGCATTTAAAGGGGTTTCTTGGTGCCTCAGAGGTTGAAAAAATAAAAAAATTCAATTTATTATTTATATATTTATTTATTTATAATAGAAACGGTCTTGGATCAACCTCACAGCGTTCAAGCCTGGGATTTCAATTAATTTGTACCCATTGAGACTTAAACGAAGCCAATTGCCTGCAAAAGTAGCCAAATTGTAACCGGAGCTCAAACATATTGTTTCCAGCAACGATATAAATTAACAACTTGTTGACTCTTAGAGACTTGGCTACAATTTTGAATGAATCGAACTGAATCCAAAGGCGGTTTGAAACCGTGAACCGAACCACAAAGGTTCTCTCCTTTGGCTTTGCTACCCTGGATAAAATATACGTTATTTTAAAGAAAGTTCGTTTATGTTTTTATACCCTGAATACATTAAAAATGGGTACAAGGGTATATTTTATTCGTGCAAAAACCAAATGTATGTAACAGGCAGAAGGAAGCATCTCCGACCCCATAAAGTATATATATTCTTGATCAGCATCAATAGCCGAGTCGATCTAGCCATGTCCGCCTGTCTGTTCGTCTGTTTGTCCGTCTGTCTGCCGTCCGTATGTATGAACGCAAGGTGTCAGAACCTATAAGAGCTAGAGACTTGAAATTTTAGATGTAGGTGCTCCTAGTGCCTGCGCAGATCAAGTTTATTTCCGGTAATCGATAACTTACTCCGTTTCCAAGCAATCGATAAAAATATCGATATCGATTTTATCAATTTTGGTAAATAATAAGAGCTAGAGTCACGAAACTTCATATCTAGCTTCTAAAATAGAATATATATATGCATTTGATGTTGGAAGAAGAGGGTTCAGGGTATCCCCTAGTCGGGAGGTCCCGACTAGAACCTCTTACTTGTTTATTTATGAATTAAAAGAAATCCAGGCCAATTTTTGGCTATGCTAAAAATCTTAATAAAACTTACTGTCTGATGCCAGATAATAATAAATTCGAATGCAGAGTTAATTTGTTTTTAAAAAATATATATTTTTTCATTCATTTTCTTTTATTTGTAATTGTTGTTTGATGTTGTTGTTGTTTGTTGTTTCTTGTTGCATTAGGCATTATTTTAGTTTATAAATTGTAAAGGTGAATATGGAAATGGAAATAAATGCGTGCCGTAATATATGAGCTATATATATTCAATGTAAATATATATACACAAATACATGGGCACATAGTGTGTAAGGGAGGGGGGTGTATGTGTATGTGTGCGAGTGTGTGTGTGTGTGTGTATGTGTGTGTGTGTGTCGGTGCTTGCTTTGTGTGCTGTATGTGTGTGCGTGTGAGTGTGTGTGTGTGTGTTGTGCACAAAATAAATATATAAATTTTGTTAAAACACCCACACACACACGCCCGCACACACACGCACGCACACACACACTAAAAATCAAATTGTGTACTAAAAACTAAGCGGCAGATCTGTAGCTGCCCATAGCTAGCCGTGAGTGTGAGCGAGAGGGAAACAGAGAGAGCGAAAGGAAGGGAGACAGTCAGAGAGTGGGAGATGTGTCTGTGTGTGTTTGTGTGTGTGTGTCAGATAACGGTTAATTTATATATATATTTATATATATATATATATATATATATATATATTTTAGTTGCGCTTCCTCAAGGGCAAGCGGCTGTTGAGTGGACGCTTGGGCTTTGGCTGCTCCTCCTCCTTTTGCTCGGATTCCTCGGCAGCGGCGTCCACCTCGGGCTCCGGCTGGGCGGCCTTCAGGGGCTTGGCCAGCTTGCGACGGCTGACTGTGTGGTGTAGGGCGAGAAAAACAAACGGATAAGTCAACTATTTCGGGCAGAGATTGGATTTGGTAACAAATATAACTTACGTGCTGCATTGCTTTTGTAGCTCTTGGCCGGGGCAGCTGGTGCGGGCGCTGGCGCTGCATTGCCGCCGGCGGACTCCTCCTCTTCGGCGTTGGCCTCATCGTCGGACTTCTTGGCCGGCTTGCTGGCGGGCGTCTTCTCGCTGCGATGCTTCTTGGCGTTCTGCTGGCGGCGCTTCAGCGAGTTGAGGAAATCATCGTTGGAGCGGAAGGGACGAATGACGGGTCCCACCTTTTTGGGCGGCTCGGTTGTGGTCGTTGTGGAGCTGGCCGCTGCCTCGTCCTGCTCATCGCCATACTGGCCATGCTCACCGGCGCCGGCATCCTCATTGTACTCATCCTCCTCGGCAGCATCGTCATGCGCGGGCGCCGCCGTTGTTGTTGTCGTCGGCTTGGCCGCCTTGCCCACGGGGCGACGCAGTGCAGCGATTCTCTTCGCTGGCGATGCATTGCCAGCGGGCGCGCCCTCCTCTTGGGCCGCCACCAGTCCGTAGCACAGTGCGCAGATAATGAAAAGCAGGCAGCTGTCGATGGAAACCAAATAAAAACAAAAATCAGTTTCAGTTGGTTGAGGTTATGTGCGCGGTTTGAGGTTATGTTCGGCAGCGCTGAGCTGCAACGTATGCGAACTATTAAGTTTTGATAAGCTGCCAGAAACTTGAAGTATTTACAAATTAGTGCATTCTTTAGTTTAAAGGTTATGCTAAGAATTTGAGGTTATGTATAAACTTTGAGGTTATGCATAAGCTTTGAGGTTATGTATGCAGCTCGTATACTTAACAGATGTCCCTAAACTGATTTAACAGCAGAATCTGTTTGATTTTGATAAGTTGAGAGGGATGACAAATGTTTAAACGAAGGAACCTGTTTTAGTTTGAGGTTATTTAGGAGCTATGAGGTTATGTATGCTGCCCGAAATGGCGTAAAACTACTTTAACTGCGGAAAATGATTATTATTAATAAGTTTAGTAGATATTTCAAGTGTTTACACAAAGAAACATGGTTTAGTTTGAGGTTATGTAGAAGCTTGGAGGTTATGTATGCGGCTCATATGCAGCCCGAAATGCCCTTAAACTGATTTAGGAGCAGAAAATCTTTACTATTGATAAGTTTTACAGGCATTTCAAGTGTTTCTTCAAAGGAAAATGGTTAAGTTTGCGTTTATGTAGAAACTTTGAGGTTATGTATGCAGCCCGAAATGGCGTTAAACTAATTTACCAGCGGAAAATGTTTATTATCAATAAGTTTAAGAGGGATTTCAAGTGTTTCTACAAAGGAACATGGTTTGGGAATGATGTCGAAAGGGAACTCTGATTAAACGAATAATTGCTTAACATTTGAAACTCTTCCATAAGGAAATTGTTTTTATAAATAATATCTCATAAAAACCGTATGCATAATTCTTTTAAGCCGGCTTTGTCTGGATCTCTAAAATATGTTGCCCAACAAGCACGAGGCACAATTTCAATTGAAATTCTCCATACTCAATTAGCTGGCATCTCTAAAGACACATATGTGCATAAAGATATAGATATATATATATATAAATATATATGCATATAGATATAGATATATATATATATATGCATGATTTCTTTTCTGGTCTGGTTGAACGGGTTGAGCTGAGAACCTGAACCGGACTTGGCTGGTAAAAACACGTACCATACATAAATTGTGTGTGCACACACACACACACATAGATATATACATACATATATACAGATATATGTGTGTGCATATGTATTCATAAGCCATGTGCGTCTAGACATAAATAAATAAATATATTAAGATAGGCCATAAAGATATGTATGCGCCGACTGCTGCTGTTGTCGCTGCTGCTGCTGCTTCTTCTTCTTCTTCGTCATTGTCGCTGTCCTCTTCTTCTTTTTCTTCTTTTTTTTCACGCCCGAGATGTGCTAACAATTATTAATGCTTAAAGGTCAGCTAAACGGGTTTTGTTTTTCCTTTTTTGGACTCACTTTCGATTTTAAATTTATGCGCTTACGAATTCGATTTTGTCTTCTTCTTCTTATTTTGATTTTGGTTATATTGTTGTTGTTGTTGTTGCTATTTTTATGGATTTCTGCTGCCTTTTCGCATGCTAAACAAAAGACTTAGGCAGCGAACTTGTTTTCAAATACTTCTGGCAACAGTCGCCAGCGGCTAAGTCTAAGGCCAGAGCCTGCAGTTGGCTGTTAGTTAGACCGCCCACCCACCTCCGTCCCCTCCGTCCCCTTGCTGCAGCTGCGCCAAAAGCCAACAGGTGCTTATGCAAAAGTAACAGCAACAGCAACAGCAACAACAACAACAACAACAACTTTAGCAGCAGCAACAACGTGTGTAAACCAGTTGCCCGTTGCCAGCGCCAGAATAAATTGAAATGCGCACATGATCGGCACATGCAATTGGCTAATAACGGTAAAATGTGCAAGCCGCCAGCTCGGGCCAAGTAGTCAACGGCGCAGTCATGAGGGCGAGGCCCCGGCCCGCCCCAAACCCAGCAACAATAACTATTGTTGCTGTTGTTGCTGTTGCTTTCATTTGTAGCTGCTGTTGCCGCCGGGTTGCATCTTTTCGCATTGATTAGGGTCAACTGCGGCATGTCCGAGCGACTCTTTGCATTTCAATCGCCGCCCGCCACACTTATGCAACATACCCATGGAAAGGTGAAAGGCGCGTCGCCTCCAGCCGGTTGTTGCTGTTGTTGTGGGTGCGTGTTGCTGGCGTGCCTGGCATCATTAACTGCTTCTTCTTCTTCTTCTTCTTCTTCTTGTCGCTTCTTAATCGAAATTCAAGCCAAGCGCCGTGTAGTTGTTGCAAGTCTCTGCGTACAGCCCGATGTCCATGTCTATATGACATTTGGCGTCTTTGGCTTTGCTTGAACCGGTTTTTTGGCATTTTGGGAACTGGGAAACTATTGAAACGCTCTCCGAGACAATACCCAACACACACATACACATACACATGCATGCATGCAATCATTTCTAGCCAAGCCCCGAAAAACAATTTTAGCTCAGCAACAACCTGTTATATAAGCAACATTAGTTGCAAATTTATGATAAGGAAAACGTCAGCCAAGCGCCGAGAATCTTTAAGTGGAAGGCGGAATCATTCGTTTAATGATGCTGCATCATCATCAACATCATCATCGTCTTCATCATCACAAACAGCGTATGCAGCCACGACTATCAGATACCCAGGGCCATGCACATTTTCAATGTGAAGCAGCAACAAGAAACAATCAAAAGAAACTTTGACAAGCCGAACATTAAATACCCTTTGACTGCGTTGGCTTTGGATGATGATCAAAAATATATACATGCATATATACCCAATGGGATGGGAGATGCTTTCTGCTGCCTGTTACAAATAGATTTGATTCAGTTTATGAAAAGAACAAAACATTTTTCCATACAGCAACTCATTTTCGCAACATCTTGATTAAGTAGCATATGTGTGCCATAGATGCTGACGAGATTCGCTACATAGTTAAGATTTTCTTCATAATAAGAACTCGCAGCTCTCTTATGATATATCAGACAACAAACATGTTTTACCTATAGGTATAACCATTTTGAAATATCGTGCTCATGTCGTAAATGCCGATCAAGTATATATGTATATACTTATAAGCCTTATGGGCTGAGGAATGTCTCACAAAATCAAATTACCCTTGAGAAGTGTATAAAAACGTAATTAAGAATAATACAAATATTTGTGTTACCAAGGCTTGAATGCTGTCATTTGATTTATTAACACTGTTTTTGAGTGTTGTGAGCCGCGCGCGCTCTTGAAATGCGAAGCTTGTTTTCGTATGCATACATTAAAGTCTACAATATCTTGATTATGAAAATTATGATTTATGCATTAAAATCAGATTTTATTGAACTCTTTTTGCTTATAAATGATAACAAAAAGAAACGATAGAAAACAGATTATTTTTAAATCTTTTTATTTATATTTGAAAAAAAAAGTTCATTTTATTAAACTGGAAAAAAACGTTTGATTTTAGCGAACTATTTTTGTTTATAAATTTAACTCAAGGAATTCAAAATCTGTTTTTTTTTATTAAAAAAAATATGTATGCAGGTAAATTCTTATTGTTGATGGCCAATTACTTTTTGCTATTTTGCAACACTGTTTTTTTTGTTTAGAACAAACCGAAAATATTTCTAGAATTTGTGCCGTATTTGGTTTGGAAGAAAGCATCTGCCAAGGCTGCTCTGAAAGTTTTGCTGAAAAGCTGACTTATATCTAGATGATGCGGATTACAGGGTATATGGTGGGCATATCAGCAGGGAAGCCATTTGTTATTTGCGCTTAAAAAAGTGTTCGCCGTGAAGAGCTCGGTCAACAAAACTTCACATTTCAGTTAAAAGTGTTTTTCTTGTTTTAAACTCAGTTTTGTTTTCGCCCTCTTTTTGGCTTGTTTCGCTTTTTATTCAGTTTTATTTTGTGTTTATCACATAAGATTATGATTTGCATTTGCGGAATTAGTTCATGGCGATGGCGTCATGGGCTCAACTTTATGATGTTGTACGCCAGAAAAAAAAAAAACAGAGACAAAAAAAAAATCATAATAATAATAATAATACAATAAAGCTGAAAGGCTAATTTTGCCAATAGCCATGCCCCCAAAACGGGTCACTATGCTAATTGCCCATCTATAGTCGGAGTTGGAGTCATGCCTGGCCATATATATATATATATATGGGCTTATGTGTGTGCATATATATGTATATGTATATATGGGACAGCTCAAATACAATTACGAGCTTTAAAGAAAAAAACGTGCGCATTTGTTGTTGTTGTTGTTGTTGCTGTTGCTGTATTTACTTGGGCTGTAACTGCTGTTGTTGCTGTTGTTGTTGTTGTCGCTTAAGTGGGTTCAATAACGGTGCATTGTGACGGCGCAAGTACGTGTTGTGGCCAATAGTCGCAGCCAATCAGTTAGTCAAGTCAGCAAGTTCGTTGCCTGAGTCTTTTGATTTGTGTTACAGTTTCTCTATTTGACGTGCTCGTTGTTGTTGCTGCCGCTGCCGCTGCCGCTGCTGCTGTTAGTTGGCTTACATTGAATTTGGCTTATGAAATGCACGCAAGCACACACACGCAGGTGTGTATGTTTAACACCTTGTTGCCAATTTGACAAAGTCCTTGAAAATAACTTTAAAGAAGAAAAAAAACACTTTTTTGCTGCAAAACTTTTGCCAGCAACATCCAACTACATATGATGTCTACAAGTGTGTGTGTGTCTGCATGTGTGCTTGTGTGTGTGTGTGTATTCTGGTTTGGTTTTTGGCATGCACATGATCTGATCTCTCTTATTTAAATAATATTGCATAATGCGAGCGATTTGTGCGCCAAAAATGAAATGAAACGCATGTAAAACGACAGCAGCAGCAACAACAACAACATGACAAACCCCCAAAACGCCAGCGAAACTAAATTAAAATCCTGATCTTGCCGTCAAATTGGCGCTTGTTGCTGCCGTCTGCCGTCTGCTGTTGCTGGCGATATATATATATACATATAATATTTTTTTTTGCCTCACTGTGATTAATTCCCCCATGCGCTATGCGATTAACATACATCTTATATACACACACACACACACACGCACACACAAAATATGTGCATGCATGTGTGTGCGTGTCTGTCAGCTTGCATTAAGAGTGCAACCGTTAATTTATAAGACAACATCGCAGCCAACCAGCAGCAATGTGCACAGTTTGCAGCGCTTGGTAATTAATCCAATATATACTCGCACTTAATTTTTCCAACAGCAACATCCTGCCCGGCCAGCCGCATTGCCCCCGCGCTGCCTATGCCATTTGGAACGCCAAGCTAAGTATGTGTTGCTGGCGTGCAGACGACAATAGCGACAGCAGCAACAGCAGCAGCAGCGCCAGCAGACGGCAGCATCAGCTGGCGACCTTGAAACATTTCTTTCAATCAATGCACTGACAGCCAGTCAGACAGACGGACAGACGGACGGAAAGGCAGACAGACAGTTGAATGAGCCTCTTCTCACGTCAAATGGCTGGTTGCTGTTGCTCGGCGACAACTGCAATTGCAATGGCAACGGCAACAGCAACAGCAATTGCAGCTGGGAATTGGCATTTGCCATTTCTTTGTGCCGGCAAATGCCACAAGGCAACAACAACAACAACAACAGCAGCAGCAGTCACATAATGTTAATGATCATCATTGGCAACAACATCATCATCATCATCATCAGCTAAGTTAAAACGTTGGCGTGTTAAAGTTCAGTTGAGGCATTCGGTTCACAGATTTCTTGCACCAACTTTTCAAGCCAAAGTCGTGCTCGACTCATTTAAAAAAAAGAAACAAAAGCCTGAGACGTGAGACTAGCAAATACCCTGCAAAGGCTTTGTAAGAGATAGATAGATAAATAGATGGATAGATAGATGGATAGATAGACAGATGGATAGATAGATAGATAGATAGATAGATATATAGATAATAGTCGTTAAATATATGAGCTAACTCTTGGGCGTGCTAAGGAACCAGGTTGAACCAGGTAAAGCCTGCTAAAGTCAGATAAAGCCAGACAAAGCCAGGTTAAGCCAGTGCCAACCAACTCTTGCCCCCCAGTTGCCAATGTGCAAAGATTATGGGGAAACTCTGCGAATAAACTTAAAATATGCTCAAATATGTGCACACCAAATTTCAGCTTCATAACTCCACGCGCATGCTTGCATCATTCTCATCATTCCCAAGCAAAAATCTCGCCTTGCTCTGCTATTAATGCAACCAATATCTTTTATAATAGCTGCTGGCGGGCTCTGGACTTGGCAAGCCAAATCTCATGGTTCTAGCCCTAACAGTACCCGAGTTCAATGGGGTTTGGTCGGGCAAATGGAAGCGACTCGATTAACTTAAGAGTTGTGACTGTAAAATACTCGTAACTGCATTTTCGATGCTGTTCGAGAAGTGAATTCAGTGCAAAAAAAAATAAAATGTTGGCAACCCTGGCCAGCTGCCAGGCGGAGAGCAGAAACTTATTTCGACATCGGCTAATTTAATGCCTAAATTGCTTTATTAACGATCTTAGGTTTTATAATATAACATAAATATACCAAAACACGTCAGCAAAAAAAAAACTATTTAAATAAATGCAGAAAAAACTGGATTAGCAGCGCGGCAAACACCAAAAAAAAAGATAAGCAAAAAAAAAAAAAAAATTGGAAAAAAACCCACAAAAAGTATGTAAATTATTAAAAATATATCTCACTCACATGTTGAAGTACTTCATTTTGTGTGTGTGCGTTGTGTGTATATATATATTAAAAAAAACTTGAATTAAAAAAAAAAAAATTGAATATCTTTTCCAAAAACGCGCGAAACGTACAAAAAATTCACGACGATATTTCTCTCTATTTATTTTTTATTTTATATATATATATATATATATATTATTATTTTATTTATTTTTTTTTCAACGGGCTTTAAAGACGCACAGGGTTAGACACTGAGGACTGTGGAGACTGAGGACTGTGGAGACTGGTGACTGTGGAGACTGGAGACTGAGTCTGGGGCACAACTGAGTGCTGAGTGCTTAAGCCACGATCACGATCGACTTCTAGAGGCTGACTGAACGTTACTTATGCCGTGTGCATGGAGTTAACCTACGGCCACCCAATATTTTTGTGGCTGCCAGCGACGCTTGATTTTATTTTTCTTCTTTTTCTCTCTTATTTTGTGGCCGCAGCAGGCAGCAGTCAGCGACTGCGACGCCGGCAGCGGCGGCGGCGGCGGCGGCCAACAACAGGTTGGTGTCCGCCCTAATCCGAATAACCAGCGGCTGCAACTGAGCTATAGAGTTGGCCGGGGTGGCGAGGGGTGTGGTTTAACAGGGCGCGGGCGATTTGATTTTGCCGTTGACGCAGGCTCCGTTCGTAATTATATGCAAAGAGTGCAGGAGCACTTCTGGTTTCAGCCAATTTGTCATTGCTGCCGCTGTCGCTGTCGCTGCCGCTGTCGCTGTCGCTGTTGACGTCAGCGCTGGCTGCGCTGCCGGCGCCAGTTGTGGCTTTTGTGCTAGTGACAGGTTTTCTTTGGCTTTCGGCAGCCGACGACGACAACGACGACGAGTCTTAGGTTTGGCTTTTATTTTAGCATACCCTGTAATTGTAGAATAGTCAAAAGTGGGTAGCATGCGCTTGTGCTGTTATATGCAACAGACTCAAGACACAAAATATATATCAAATTTAAAGTTAATTATGGCTTTGGCATTGCATATTATCACATAGTTAGACATGTTATCGTATATATATATTCTATATTTGTCACCCTGTTTTTTCTTAACCCTTAGCTCATCTTCTGGCTCAAGCTACATTTGAAAGAAAATTGTTTTTTTTTTTCATTTAATTTCATTTTAAATAAAATACGTAAAATAAATAAAATGAAATATAAATAATATAGAAATATAAATATGTAATTTACGCTGCGCTTCGACATACTTACAGGGTATCTGCAGGTCATTCAGCTGCGCCCCTGGCGCATTCTTGCGCGCTTAACATCATATTTTTGTATTTGTATTTTATTATTTTTTGACTTTACTTTACTTATGAGCTTTATTAATTAATTTATTGATTTTGGGCCAATTGTTGTTATAAACACGTCGGCTGGTAAATCCCGAGTTCGCAGACATGTAAACAGATAAAGAAACAAACGTCCAGATTTACATACGCCAGCCAACTATGGCCATATCAATATATATATGTATATATATATATATATATAGATATATATAGATATATATAGCTTGATATAGATTTGTAGATGTGCATAATTTGGTAGACTCATATGCCATTATGCGCGGGCGGCCTTGAACTGATTTCTATCAAAATGCTGGGCGCGGGCGAAACATTAATGTTAATTGTGATATAATATTGATGTTGGGTCTTCAAATTCATAGGGGCAGCTGTGCATAGAAACCCAATCAACTTAGTAATTGCTTCTTTGAACTCCGGCCAGATGTTCTGCCCAGCTGCTGGGCCAAGTCCGGCTAATTATGTGGTCACTGCCTTCAGCTTGAAAATAACAATAAAAATAATATAAAAAAAAAACATAATAATAAATAAAATAAGCACTGGGCAACTTACCTTGAACTACAAAATGTCAACGTATGCAGGGGGCGCGGTCGGGGCTGCCTTGTCGGACACAAGAAATAAAAAACAAGTATCTTATGGCTACCCTGTAAAAATGTGTAAAAAAGGTAGACAATCGAAAAACGAAAAAAAAAAAACAGAAAATTGTTAAATTATTAACAACATGCATTTGCATTCGAATCAAACTAGAAATCAAAAATCCAAAATCCAAAATCTCAAATCAGAAATCGTATCGCATGCAAATGCAATCTGATCAAACTATTCGTCTATGCTAATCTATTATTCATACAATCTTTCTATGCATTACAAGCTATTAATAATTATTATGATAAACGGCCGAGACAAAGACGAAACCCAAAACCCAACCCAGACACGATCTTCGCGTGAAACTCTTCTTTTTGTTTTATTATTATTATCATAGTTGGGTCCGCAGATGCAAATGTCAACGCGCAGTCGGAGTCTGTTGCAACATCGCTCAGGGGCAATCCATAAGGTTTACCAGTCTAACCTGCCTCAAACTGTCCATAAAATAAAAGAAAGAAAAAAAATTAACAAAGCAAAGTCCAGCTTAGACAATATTTTGCCCAAATTGCATACTAAAAAGAAAAATCAATGTGGCCAGAACAATTTTTGAATAATGTTCTTAATATTGACCTAACAGAGTACATCCAGAGTGACCAGCTTCGAACCTGCAAGTTCAAGTCGAGTGAAGAAAATAGGTCTGATATCATTAATGATATAAGTCGAAGGAGAAGGGATTGCCCTTCAATAATTAGACTTCCAACGGGTAAATACTGTTCGATTTCGGCATAATATAACATCTTCGACTCGCAAGGATTTGGGATAAAATATAGATTTTTAAAATGGGCTCAAAATTGTATAAAATTCCAAAATCGAACATGTTTTGGCCAAGATATTCAAAAAAAATCAATCAAAACGACATAACTCCGCGTGGAGATATGACGTTCCAAAACGACATAACTCCGCGTGGAGATATGACGTTCCAAAACGACATAACTCCGCGCGGAGATATGACGTTCCAAAACGACATAACTTCGGCCGGAGATTTGACGTTCCAAAATGACATAACTCCGCGCGGAGATATGAACTTCCAAAACGACATAACTCCGCGCGGAGATATGACGTTTCAAAACGAAATAGTTCCGCGCGGAGATATGACGTTCCAAAACGACATATCTCCGCGCGGAGATATGACGTTCCAAAACGACATAACTTCGCGCGGAGATATGACGTTCCAAAACAACATAACTTCGCGCGGAGATATGACGTTCCAAAACAACATAACTTCGCGCGGAGATATGACGTTCCAAAACGACATAACTCCGCGAGGAGATATGACGTGCTAAAACGACATAACTCCGCGCGGAGATATGACGTTCCAAAACAACATAACTTCGCGCGGAGATATGACGTTCCAAAACGACATAACTCCGCGTGGAGATATGACGTTCCAAAACGACATAACTCCGCGCGGAGATATGACGTTCCAAAACAACATAACTTCGCGCGGAGATATGACGTTCCAAAACAACATAACTTCGCGCGGAGATATGACGTTCCAAAACGACATAGCTCCGCGCGGAGTTATGACGTTTCAAAACGACATAGCTCCGCGCGGGGAATATGACGTTCCAAAACGACATAACTCCGCACGGAGATATGACGTTCCAAAACGACATAACTCCGCACGGAGATATGACGTTCCAAAACGACATAACTCCGCACGGAGATATGACGTTCCAAAACGACATAACTCCCGCGATATGACCTTCCATAAAATCATCCATCACGTTGTTTTTGAAAATCGAGGTTTTTGCGATAATCGAAACTTTTTCGATGATTTTTTAATATCTCAGGTAATAGCTCCGCGCGGAGATATGACGTTCCAAAACGACATAACTCCGCGTGGAGATATGACGTTCCAAAACGACATAACTCCGCGTGGAGATATGACGTTCCAAAACGACATAACTCCCGCGATATGACCTTCCATAAAATCATCCATCACGTTGTTTTTCAAAATCGAGGTTTTTGCGATAATCGAAACTTTTTCGATGATTTTTTTAATATCTCGGGTAATAGCTCCGCGCGGAGATATGACGTTCCAAAACGACATAACTCCGCGCGGAGATATGACGTTCCAAAACAACATAACTTCGCGCGGAGATATGACGTTCCAAAACGACATAACTCCGCGCGGAGATATGACGTTCCGAAACGACATACCTCCCCGCGCAGATATGAACTTCCAAATCATCACGTTTTTTGTCAAAATCGGGCAAGGCTCGAAAATCAAAACTTTTTTGATGCTTTTTTTGAATATCTCGGGTAAATATCGTCTGATTTTGGAATGTTATACCTTTTTACATTCGTACGGACCCCTACTATTAAATGGCATCCAAAATCGATGGCTTAAAAAAAGTTGTTGACCAATAAACCGATTCGTTTGTAAAGTTAACCCTTTTTTGATCAGTTTTTTGAATATTTCGGACAAATAATGTCCGAATTTGAATTTTTTTGACTTGTAAGGATCAGTTCTATCCATTGGCATCAAAAAAAAGGAAATCCAAAATTTTGACCCAAATCGACAAAATGGCAAGGGGTTACATCACGTTTCTTTTTAAAATCGAGATCGGTGCGAAAATCAAAAGTTTTTCGATGATTTTTTTTAATATCTCGGGTAATAACTCCAAAACGACATAGCTCCGCGCGGAGATATGACGTTCCAAAACGACATAAATCCGCGCGGAGATATGACGTTTCAAAACGACATAGCTCCGCGCGGAGATATGACGTTCCAAAATGACATAACTCCGCGCGGAGATATGACGTTCCAAAACGACATAACTCCGCGCGGAGATATGACGTTCCAAAACGACATAGTTCCGCGCGGGGAATATGACGTTCCAAAACGACATAACTCCGCGCGGAGATATGACGTTCCAAAACAACATAACTCCGCGCGGAGATATGACGTTCCAAAACGACATAACTTCGCGCGGAGATATGACGTTCCAAAACGACATAACTCCGCGTGGAGATATGACGTTCCAAAACGACATAACTCCGCGTGGAGATATGACGTTTCAAAACGACATAGCTCCGCGCGGAGATATGACGTTCCAAAACGACAAAACTCCGCGCGAAGATATGACGTTCCAAAACGACATAACTTCGCGCGGAGACATGACGTTCCAAAACGACATAACTCCGCGTGGAGATATGACGTTCCAAAACGACATAACTCCGCGTGGAGATATGACGTTCCAAAACGACATAACTCCGCGTGGAGATATGACGTTCCAAAACGACATAACTCCGCGTGGAGATATGACTTTCCAAACGACATAACTCCGCGCGGAGATATGACGTTCCAAAACGACATAGTTCCGCGCGGGGAATATGACGTTCCAAAACGACATAACTCCGCGCGGAGATATGACGTTCCAAAACAACATAACTCCGCGCGGAGATATGACGTTCCAAAACGACATAACTTCGCGCGGAGATATGACGTTCCAAAACGACATAACTCCGCGTGGAGATATGACGTTCCAAAACGACATAACTCCGCGTGGAGATATGACGTTTCAAAACGACATAACTCCGCGCGGAGATATGACGTTCCAAAACGACAAAACTCCGCGCGAAGATATGACGTTCCAAAACGACATAACTTCGCGCGGAGACATGACGTTCCAAAACGACATAACTCCGCGTGGAGATATGACGTTCCAAAACGACATAGCTCCGCGCGGAGATATGACGTTTCAAAACGACATAACTCCGCGTGGAGATATGACTTTCCAAACGACATAATTCCGCCTGGAGATATGACGATCCAAAACGACATAGCTCCGCGCGGAGATATGACGTTCCAAAACGACATAACTCCGGGCGGAGATATGACGTTCCAAAACAACATAACTTCGCGCGGAAATATGACGTTCCAAAACGACATAACTCCGCGAGGAGATATGACGTTCCAAAACGATATAACTTCGCGCGGAGATATGACGTTCCAAAACGACATAACTCCGCGTGGAGATATGACGTTCCAAAACGACATAACTCCGCGTGGAGATATGACGTTCCAAAATGACATAACTCCGCGTGGAGATATGACGTTCCAAAACGACATAACTCCGCGTGGAGATATGACTTTCCAAACGACATAACTCCGCCTGGAGATATGACGTTCCAAAACGACATAACTCCGCGTGGAGATATGACGTTCCAAAACGACATAGCTCCGCGCGGAGATATGACGTTTCAAAACGACATAGCTCCGCGCGGAGATATGACGTTCCAAAACGACAAAACTCCGCGCGGAGATAAGACGTTCCAAAACGACATAACTCCGCGTGGAGATATGACGTTCCAAAGCGACATAACTCCGCGTGGAGATATGACGTTCAAAACGACATAACTCCGCGTGGAGATATGACGTTCCAAAACGACATAACTCCGCGTGGAGATATGACGTTCCAAAACGACATAGCTCCGCGCGGAGATATGACGTTTCAAAACGACATAACTCCGCGTGGAGATATGACTTTCCAAACGACATAACTCCGCCTGGAGATATGACGTTCCAAAACGACATAGCTCCGCGCGGAGATATGACGTTCCAAAACGACATAACTCCGGGCGGAGATATGACGTTCCAAAACAACATAACTTCGCGCGGAAATATGACGTTCCAAAACGACATAACTCCGCGAGGAGATATGACGTTCCAAAACGATATAACTTCGCGCGGAGATATGACGTTCCAAAACGACATAACTCCGCGTGGAGATATGACGTTCCAAAACGACATAACTCCGCGTGGAGATATGACGTTCCAAAACGACATAACTCCGCGTGGAGACATGACTTTCCAAACGACATAACTCCGCCTGGAGATATGACGTTCCAAAACGACATAACTCCGCGTGGAGATATGACGTTCCAAAACGACATAGCTCCGCGCGGAGATATGACGTTTCAAAACGACATAGCTCCGCGCGGAGATATGACGTTCCAAAACGACAAAACTCCGCGCGGAGATAAGACGTTCCAAAACGACATAACTTCGCGCGGAGATATGACGTTCCAAAACGACATAACTTCGCGCGGAGATATGACGTTCCAAAACGACATAACTCCGCGTGGAGATATGACGTTCCAAAACGACATAACTCTGCGTGGAGATATGACGTGCCAAAACGACAAAACTCCGCGCGGAGATATGACGTTCCAAAACGACATAACTTCGCGCGGAGATATGACGTTCCAAAACGACATAACACCGCGTGGGGATATGACGTTCCAAAACGACATAACTCCGCGTGGAGATATGACATTCCAAAACGACATAACTCCGCGCGGAGATATGACGTTTCAAAACGACATAGCTCCGCGCGGAGATATGACGTTCCAAAACGACATAACTCCGCGTGGAGATATGACGCTCCAAAACGACATAACTGCGCGTGGAGATATGACGTTCCAAAACGACATAACTCCGCGTGGAGATATGACGTTCCAAACGACATAACTCCGCCTGGAGATATGACGTTCCAAAACGACATAACTCCGCGTGGAGATATGACGTTCCAAAACGACATAACTCCGCGTGGAGATATGACGTTCCAAACGACATAACTCCGCGTGGAGATATGACGTTCCAAAACGACATAACTCCGCGTGAAGATATGACGTGCCAAAACGACATAACTCCGCGTGGAGATATGACGTTCCAAAACGACATAACTCCGCGCGGAGATATGACGTTCCAAAACGACATAACTTCGCGTGGAGATATGACGTTCCAAAACGACATAACTCCGCGTGGAGATATGACGTTCCAAAACGACATAACTCCGCGCGGAGATATGACGTTCCAAAACAACATAACTTCGCACGGAACTATGACGTTCCAAAACGACATAACTCCGCGTGGAGATATGACGTTTCAAAACGACATAACTCCGCGTGGGGATATGACGTTCCAAAACGACAAAACTCCGCGCGGAGATATGACGTTCCAAAACGACATAACTTCGCGTGGAGATATGACGTTCCAAAACGACATAACCTCGCGCGGAGATATGACGTTCCAAAACGACAAAACTCCGCGCGGAGATATGACGTTCCAAAACGACAAAACTCCGCGCGGAGATATGACGTTCCAAAACGACATAACTTCGCGCGGAGATATGACGTTCCAAAACGACATAGCTCCGCGCGGAATATGACGTTCCAAAACGACATAGCTCCGCGCGGAGATATGACGTTCCAAAACGACATAGCTCCGCGCCGAGATATGATGTTCCAAAACGACATAACTCCGCGCGGAGATATGATTTTCCAAATCGACATAACTTCGCGCGGAGATATGATGTTCCAAAACGACTTTGCTCCGCGCGGAGATATGACGTTCCAAAACGACATAACTCCGCGTGGAGATATGACGTTCCAAAACGACATAACTCCGCGTGGAGATATGACGTTCCAAACGACATAACTCCGCGTGGAGATATGACGTTCCAAAACGACATAACTCCGCGCCGAGATATGATGTTCCAAAACGACATAGCTCCGCGCCGAGATATGACGTTCCAAAACGACAAAACTCCGCGCGGAGATATGACGTTCCAAAACGACATAACTTCGCGCGGAAATATGACGTTCCAAAACGACATAACTCCGCGTGGAGATATGACGTTCCAAAACGACATAACTCCGCGCGGAGATATGACGTTCCAAAACGTCATAACTCCGCGCGGAGATATGACGTTCCAAAACGATTCGGCTTATGTTACATCCTAAAAGTATGCAGTACAATATTCAGTATGTTGATTGTCAGCCAAATTATGTTATTTCGTAAATAATTCACTTTAAGCTATGCTAAAAATGATTTACAGTTTAGACTAAGAATTATTCCTGTTCGGTTTGTGGAGTATCTCCCACATTGGCTTAGGATTTGTCTAAATTTCTACATATACAAATTATTGTCCTGACCGAGTGAGGGCTGACTGATTGATTGACTGACTGACTAACTGACTGATTGACTTACTGACTGATTGACTAACTGACTTATTGAGTAAGAGCTAGATAGCAGAAATTTTCACTGTAGGTGCATGTCAAGATTGGCGGCATTTCGTGAAATTTCATCCGAAACTGTGGATAAATCGCGAAAACCGATTGGCCCCAAACTGATTTTCAAAATTCTTTGCCTTAATTAATTTGGGGGGTGTTTTACACTTTTTGACAAATCAATTCCTCTTTGGTGGAAATGGAGGTCGAATATTTAGTGGCTTTTCCAAGGAAAAATCATTTGAAACGTGCTGCACGCTTTTCGCAAAACAAAAGTTAAAGCACGCCACGGACAAGGCCGGGCAACAGCCAGCCTAGCTATATAATTTAATTGTAAGCCCATTAAAACACTTGAATTTATTTATTTATTTTACTTTATTCAAATCATTTTTACCATTCGTTTCTTATCTTTTCGCGCATCATTTGTGCAATTGGGTTTTCTGTAAAGAAAAATCTTAAAAAATCGTTATAAAGTATGTAAAAATAAACATTTAACACTATTAAATAATCAATCGAATAAAATGCATTTCAAAAAAAAAAAAAAATATATGTCTAAATGCTTATTAAGTAAAAAAAAAAAAAGTAAAATAAAATAAATGCTTACGATATATAAAAGGCATATTGTATAAAAAAAAAACTCTTCCGGTAGTCGTTCGACAACTTTCCGGCGGCGGAAGCTCAGCGGCTGAGTTTCAAACTTGCGTAGGGCTAGCAAAAAAAAAAAAGACGATCTTAACTTAAATGTTATATTAAAAAAAATCAGCAAATATGCATAAAAATAATATATAAGAGGTTTGCGGAAGCCTGGCTGGATGGAGTTAGTCATGTGTTGTTGTTGTTCTTGCAGCTAATGTTAATGTTCGTTGCGAGCGACGTGTGTTATATATATGGACAGGTAAGCATATATGTGTGTGTGCTGGGAACATGTGTGTGTGTGTGTGTGTGCGTGCGTGCAGTAGGCGTGGCCGTAGGCGTGGCTGTAACAGTTCGGACATCTATGCGCTAACATAAAAGAGACTGTTGCTCCGCCATCCGCAGCTGCTGCTGCTTCCTTTTGGCTCTATTTACACTTCTCCTCAGGATGCACTGCATCATCATCATCATCTGCGCTGGTTGAGCATCTGCAGATAGTACTCGCAGTTGGTGCAGTAGACGGCGGGCGCAATCACGTGCCGCTTGCGGCACAGATTGCATTCGACAGCCTTCGCGGAGGCCTTCACAATGGCATTGTTGTAGACGCGGGTGGGTATGATGGCTGTGATCCCGGCCGCCGACTCCGGCAGACCGTTCTGCAGCGACAACTTCGACTGAGATGTTGGCGGTGGTAGAGGTAGACCCTCCGTTTCGCCCTTGGTGCCGGGCTCAAAGCTGACCTTCTTCTGCGCTGGCTTGCCATTGACCAGCTGCTGCTGCTGTTGCTGCTGCTGCTGCTGCTGCTGTTGTTGCTGCTGCTGTTGCTGCGGGGGCGCATAGTAGCCGGCTGTGGCCTGCTGCTGCTGCTGCTGCTGATAACCATGCGGCAGGGGCACGCGCTGATAGGGCGAGGGCAGCGGCTGCTCGGCCACGTTGCCATTGCTGAAGTAGGCGAGGCTCATCTGTTGCTGCTGTTGCTGCAACTGTTGCTGCTGCTGCTGCTGCAGCTGCTGCTTCTGCACGGAATAGCTTTGGGGCAGCTGATGCAGTGGGGGCCTGGGCATGCTCGTGTACTGTGCATCCAGCTGCTGTTGCTGGCTCGAAAGGCCGCTCATGCTGGTGCGCTGCTGCAACTGTTGCTGCTGCAATTGCTGCTGCTGCAACTGTTGCTGCTGCTGCAGGCGAAACAGCTCCTGTTGCTGATGTTGCTGTTGCTGCAGCAATTGCTGCTGTCGCTGCACATAACGCTGCATATCTGGCCTGCCCAGCATGGGCGACGACTGTTGTTGTTGCAACTGTTGCTGCTGTGGCGGCAACTGTTGCTGGTGTCGCGGCTGCGGTTCCGTCTGCAATCGCAGCATATTCTGCTGCTGCTGCTGAATGAGCTGCGCAGTGACCTTCTCGTTGGGATGCTGGGCAGTGCGCAGCACGCGCTCCAGTATGGGATTGGGTATGAAATCGTCGTCCTCCTCGTTGCCGGCGGTGGCCACCAGAATGACCTGGTCGCAGAACGAGACGCTCTTCTTTTTCACGCGCTTCTGTGGTGCCAAATTGGTCTGGTTGAGCGTCTGCTGCACCATTGTGTTGAGAAGTTCCACCTCGCGTATCTCCTCGGCAATCTGCGACTGCGACATTTCGTACTTGGGCTTCGGCAGCAGCAGCTGCTGTCGGACGGGCGCACAGTCCACCTCATCCGTTTCCGGCTTGCCGTTGGGCAGGCCGTTCATCTGTGTGCGCAGCTGGGCGCCGGAACTGGATCCGGGACTCAGCAGCTCTTGGGAGGCATAGGAGCGCATTGTGCTGCCGGAGCTGGTCTGCTCGAAGCGATGGGCCAGATCTCGGACGCTGTTGGGCGAGGACGCCTCCTGCTTGCGCTGCATTGCTCTGAGATCGGGCATGGGCGTGGCCTGCTCCTTGCGCAACTTGAGCAGATGCTGTCGCTGCTGCAGCTGTGCCAGAATGCTGGTGGTGCCCTCCAGCGAGTCCAGCTGCTGGCGCTGCTGCTTGCTGGCCGCCTCCAAGGCGTGCAGATGGCTCAGCTGCTGGTTGAGCGGCTCCAGATCGATCTCGGGCGGCGGCGGTGGTGGAAAATCCTCGCTGGCCTGCCGCGAATGGCACACCGATTGCGGCGGACTCGGATACGGCGGCAGCTCTAATGGCGGCGGCGGTGGGGGCGGCGGCATGGTCATGGGCAGCGCCAGGCCGTCGAGTTCGTCGTAGGGCGTCATCTGTAGCTGGAGATCCTTGAGCGGACTTTGCTCGGAGTGCACCTGGGCGCAGGTCGTGATGATCGTCTGGCACGAATCCTCGCTAATCGATGTATTCGAGCTCATGGCCGAGATGTTCGACAGATTGGCCTCGTGATGGAACTGTTGCTGCTGCTGCTGCTGCTGCTGTTGCTGGGGGGTCAGGGAGGAGCTGGTTCGCATGGGCGGCGGCGGGGCCACCTTGGGCACCATGGTCAGCTGCCGGCCACTGCCGTGAAAGCTCTTGCGCATCAGCTTGCTGCGCTCCAGATTCGGATTGGCGCTCGACTGCGCCGACATCGACTGCGGATTCTGGCCGCCGCCGTTCTTCGAGTAGTCGAAATGCCCCTCCGAGATGTAGCCGCTGCTCATGGCCAAGGCGGCATTGTAGGCGTGGCCGTGCTTGGCATGGCCGTGCAGGCTCAGGCCGACGGCGCTGTCGTCCACGGAGCTGGTCAATGGCGCCGTGGGCGTGGCATGTGGGCTGGCATTGGTGGCGGCGGCGCCGGCAGCATCGTCGACGGCCTCGGTGAGATCGGGCATGGAGCGATTCTTGCGGCGTATCAGGCCGCCCATGAGAAGTTTGCGTCGTATTTTGTGCTGTTTCTTGCCACTCTTGTCCTTCTCTTTCTTCTCGTCCTTGTCCTCCTTGTGCTTCTTGAGCGTGTCCTTGGCATTCACCAGCAGCGTCTCCGTCAGCGAGAACTCGCGCGTCAGCTTGTTGCGATCCTCGCTGCGGCTGCGCTTCTCCTTCTCCTTATCCTTATCCTTATCCTTATCCTTCTCCTTGTCTTTCTCCTTGTCGCGACGGCCGAACAGCGAGCGGCTCTCGCGCTCCGGCTTTGCCTGGCTAGTGGCCAGCTGGTGTTCATACTCGATGGCATTGTCATCCGTGGCGAGCGGCTTTAGTGGACTCTTGCGCTTGGGCAGCGTCGCATAGATCTCGATGCTCTTGGCTGCCGCGGCGCTCGGCTCCAGTTTCTCCAGCTTGTCCAGCGTTCGATCCTTGCTGTTCTGACGCATATGCTTCACGGAGCTGTTGCTGCCCTCGCGCATATGCTTCAGCTCGGGCATCGCCTCGCTTTCGGCGCCCTTCTCGACCAGTATACGCCGGTGCAGACTTCGGGCTCGCATCACGCACGTGTTGTGCTTCATCCGGGCGAACGTCATCGTGTGCGGATTGCTGTACGGCGCATCCATGGCCGCACGGGCTCTACCCGCGGCCGCATTGCATAGTACGAGCGCCGTCTCCAGATCGTGCGACTCCTCGACCAGACGTGATTTCTCCAGCAGCTGGTCGGCCTCATGGCACAGCTTCTCGCAGTCTCCCGTCAGCGCCAGACCGTGTCCGTTTCCGTGTCCCTGTCCGTGTGCATGGACAGCTCCGTTGGTTGTCACGCCCGCAGCCGCACCCGCAGCTGCCTCTGGTATTTTGGCCAGCTGGGGATTAAGCGCATGCTTGGGCGGATACGAGTCAGTCGAGCTGAGCGAGAAGGAGTCGTAGCCCGCATCGTAGGGCAGTCCATGTGCATGGCCCAGTGCATGTCCGTGTCCGTGTCCGAGTGGATGTCCGTGGACGTGAGCGTGAGCATGACGCGTGGGACTCTGGGGCACGGCGGAAACGCCCCGCTTGGCGACCATGTAAAGATAGGGATTGTCCAGGGTTGTGGAGCTGGCGGAGCTGGCGCTGTTGCGATCCCCGGACCAGTTGCCAGAGTCGCGTCGCCTCGGCTGATTGAGATGCTCCGGTATGGTCAGGCCGTCGCTGGGCGGCGAGCTGCCATTGGAGGCGCCGCTCGCATGGCCCGAGCTCGATTCGGCGCTGTGACTGCGCTGCAGCTGCAGATGCTGGCGGCGCGCCAGCTGGGCGCTCAACATCGCCTCGATGGGCTTGCGGTTGAGGAAGCCGCCCTCCTTGTCGCCAACGGCAACGATCTTGTCCTGGATGACGCTCAGATTCTGATACTGTGCGCTCAACACATGCTCCACGGTCTTTCGGCTGATATAGGCATCCGTCTCGTCGCTGCCCACCGTCGTCGTGGCAGCCGGCCCGGCCGGAAAGATGTTCTTCTGGATGACGCTCAGGTTCTGGTAATCATTGAGGGGCGCACGCAGCGCTGTGGGCGTGGCCAGTGGCGTCGGCGTCGGCGTAATGGCGCGCCTCGTGCTGCCCAGACTGGGCTTCTCCGGGCTGGGCGTAACAGCGCGTCGCACCGACGTCAGCTCCAGGCCGCAATTGTTGGCGGCGACGCCGGCAACGGCTGAGCTGGGCGGCTGGGGCACAGCGTAGAGCAGAAGCAGAGGCTGGTAGCGGCCGCGACTGCACTTGTCGACAACACCCTCCCAGCTGGGACCGACCTCCTTGACGTTGGCGTCATCGAAGTAGACCCACACCTTCAGCTTGGTGTGAAAGAAGAAGGTGGTGTAGTGCTTGCCGTAGTAGGAGACAATGCCGACCAGCTCGTGCTGCGCCTGCTGGGCCCAGCGCTGTTCGCTGACCTGATGGAAGACATCCGCCAGCCGGAGGCTGGTGCCCACAGCTTTGAGCACCGCGTGCACTTGGTCGGCGGCGGGTCGCTCCGAGTCCCACACAATGCCAATGGAGACGACATCCGGCCGATTGAGCAGCGCCCGGCAAATGCCAATCTTGGCGCCGCAAGTGTTCTGCGTATGCAATTCGAGTATCGAGATTAGCTGCTGTTTTGCTCGAAAGAATCACTGCATTTACTTACCGGACAGTCGCGTATGTCGCCCATGTTGCCCGCGGCACGCAGCAGCTGGCCAAAGCTCAGCTGCTGATGGTTCTGCAGTGCGAGGCTCTTCTGTGAGGTCAGCGCCGAGGCTGACACATAGTGCACCATCTGTGGGCAGAGGGAGAACAACACACAGCACAAGATTAATATAAATGCAATCTATGATCCAAGAGCTCCTCCCCCTCAACACACTAGCCCCGCTCGTTGGGTGGGTGTTCCAAAGAAACTGGTCGAATGACTGTGCATGTTCATGTTCAGGTTCACGAAACCCGTTTGGCAACCCGATCCGCCGAGCTGTTCTAACTGTTCTGGTCCCTGCTCGGGCGCCTGCTTCGTCCGACTCGCAGGTGTTCTAAGCCCACGCGCCACCAACCCCATTCATGCACGGCAAGTAAAGCTGCTGGCAATTTAGTTAATTTTAATTTTTAATTTTATTCGCAGGCGGCCTCAAAAGACCTACCCCACAAACCTGCCCCACGCTCGACGAGCCCCAACAAAATAATCTAGTCCTAACAAATAACCTTAGACAAAGTTCCCGTTCCGCACGCTGATGAAAGTTGCCATGCATATCAGTTGTAAGCTAAAGAATATTAATCTCGTTCTTTTCCAACAAGAACTCCTTTTCATTTGTGATCAACTTTGATGTCTGGCAGTGCGCTCCACTGGGAACAAAGCCCAAGGTTCTATCTTTAACAAGAAAGAGTAGCTATATGGAAGGATACTTGATTCGTATATATTTTCTAATAATCCAATTTGGTTAGATTTCTTAAGATTTCGATATCGTACTCTAACTAGATGTTGAGACTCACCTGTGTGAAGGGCAGCTGCTCGGAGTTGGCGCCGCACTTGCAGACGCTCTGCTCGATGACGCGCATCGCGAATCGGCGATGGGCAATGCAGGCCGGTGACTCGCACGAGTCGCCGTCGTCGGGCGAGATGTGCGAGTGGACGCGATGGAGTAGCAGCTCAAAGCACTCGGCGGCATCGCCCAGGCAGCCCAGTGGGAAGCGACGGCCGGCCAGCGGGCCGCTGGCCAGGGCGCGACGTAGTGGCTCCGGGCACAGAGCTGGCTCCGAGCTGGTCTGCAGCTGCTGGAACAATTCCTGGCACACATATGGAAATGCACAGATTAGCGAAACAGTATATATATGTGTATATATATATGTGAATTATAGCTAGTATATGGGGCTTGGCATTGCAAATGGATGGGGCCGTATGGGGACTTACAATAACCGCATTGATGCAGCGATCCCGCTCGGCGGCAGTCGAGCCGTTGCCGCTGCTGCTGTAGCCGAGCACCGCCAGCTCCACGCTGCTGGATACCTTGGCCAGGGCGCAGACGTTCTGCTGTTTGCCCGGCTTGCTCGGCTTGCTCTGGCGCGTCAGGGTGGCCGATCGATTGTGGCAATCGCCCGCCTCCAGCAGCAGCTTCCTGGGACTGCTGCGGGGCAAGGTGCCATTGTTGCTAATCAGCTGTTGCAGCGGCGATGCCACAGATATCGGAGTCGGAGCTGGTGCTGGAATCGCGGCCGGAACTGTGATGGTGGCTGTGCTGTTGTTGCTGGTCGACGACGACGGGGAGCTGCTGGCAACCAGGTTGCTGGGCTCCTTTCGCTTGTAGCGGAACTTGATCATGCTTGATTGGATCCCTCAGCTGCTATCGATCTAATTAATGCTTGCTCTTGCTCTTGCTTCTGCCTGGCGCGGCTCTGCTTGAAAGAAGAACAACTCAAATTCAGTTGACGCCGTCTCGAAAGTGCGCTTGCTTCGCTGTCCGCTCGCCCGCTCCACAGGGCAACGATAACAACCGCGACGACGATAATAATGATAATGATAATGATGACAATGAAGCTGACGCTGATGGCGACATCCATTAAGTGCGATAACGATGCGGCGGCTGGCTAAACGGAGCCGAGCTAGGCGCAGGGTCCAGGGTGAGAAAGCGACATGCAAAAGTCGTTGACGTAGTCAAACGGAAGTGCATGTACGAAAGACTTGACAAAATGCAAAAAAAAAAAAAAAAAACAACTGCAAAAAGGTAAGCAGCTAAAAAGTGCGTGCTCGACTGGCAAATACCCTACAAACATGCCGGCTGTCGTGTTTATGGAACTCCCAGTGGACTCTTGAGTGAAAGATCTTAAACATTTATATTCATATTCATACCCATATTCATATTCATATTTATATTCACATGTGTTTATCGCATGAGCTTAGCTATCGCAGAATTTGTATGCCTTTCAGTAACAAGCTATGCTGTTGTGGTAGAATTAGATATACCCCATTGTTGCCATGCGTCGAGGGTATTTAGAGTAAGGCGAAAAAGTGAAGCGTCAGCCCCCAAACAATTGGTTCGTGAAAGGAAGTCGCATGAAGAACCGCAAATGCCAGCTCGAGCTGCCAATTGAAACCCATTTGAACTTGGACTTCGCCTGGTCACGCGAACCACACAGCCAAAGAGCCGGACAAAGCCGGGCACTCGTTGTCGTTATCGCCTGATGAGTGATAACAGCTGCACAGGTTGACCAGCACGCGGCTAGTTTTTTTTTTTGGCACACCCTAAGCCAGGCGAACAGGCGACAGGTGAGAGGTTGAGACTGGCGACGGATGCGGCGCGAAGAGAAGCGGAGAGTAGAGGAGGGGGGCAATGGAAAGGGGAGGACGAGAGAAAGAAACCAGAACCAACGCGTTGAACTTTCGCTTTTGCTTTTGACAAGACGACCCCATTTTTTTTTTTGGCAACGCGAGCCGAAAGTTTTTTGCCCAAAAAACCGGTCCAGCTCAGCTATCCCCAAGATTCAAGCTCCACGAGGTTAGCCTTTAAGTGTGTGTGTGTGTATGTGTTGTGTGTGTGTGCCAAAAATCAAACTGCAAGTTGACAACTGCAAAGGGAGTACATTACAGTCGCGTCATCGCGACTGATCCATGCCCTGTAAAGCTGCTGAAGACTCTAAGACTGTAATTGACTTTCAAGTGACTTTCAAACTGTATCTTAGCCCAAGCTCCAGCTGCAGGGCAGCTTATATGTAATTCTATTGCCAAACTTAACTCTATTTGGCACAATGAGCTCAGCAAAATACCCCATTTAGCTGCTGTCAACAAAGTCTCTGAAAACTGCCGACGCGGCAGACGCTAGTTGAATGCTTCCTATATATATATATCTATATATACTTATATATATAGTTAGGGAGCCAGTTCTAATGTTACACAGCGCATGGGGCCTGTTTTGGGGTTGGCCTCTGGAGCTGTTGCTGGTCAGCATTTGCTGACGTCGCCCTGAAAGCTGAAAGCTGACACAGGCTGTGGCAGGGGAGAGAGGGGCGTCTCTCGAGAGGGGCGTCCAAATGACGCGCCATATGCGGCATATGGTATTAAAGTGCCTTTTTTCACTTTTGCTTTTAACAGTGCCAATTACAACTATTGTTGTTGTCGTTGTCGTTGTTGTTGCTCTTGTTCTTTAGCTTATAATTTGTTTGTTACCCTTGCAGAGGGTATTATAATTTAGTCTCTCGCCGAGCCCGTAAAAAATATATATATTCTTGAGCAGTTTCTATGCGAACTAGTCTCCCAGTCTTAAATCTAACATATGTCTCGGCACCGACTGGTTCGTAGCACTATATCAGCAAAGCTATGTGAGGGTATTAAATAGTCGGCGTGCCGTAGTTTTTCACGCTCGTTTTTCTTTCAAGCTGTTGTGTCAGTCAACAAAAGCAATCGAACAGCCCAAATATACGCGTGTCTATACAAATACGAATACTCAAATGTACATATCTCTCTCTATATATATTTATGTGTATATGTTATGTTATTACTCGATTCACAATTGTTGTTGTTGTTGTTGTTGTTGTAATTATATAGCACACTTGACAATTGTCCACTGGCAACAACTGAGTCAACTTTTGGCGCTCAGCTACAGCGGCAGCTGCTGCTGCTGCTGCCTGTGTGCTAGGTGTGACAACTGTTTTGGCCGCCACTGTGCCGCCGCTTGGCTGAGAATTGAATGCGTCTGCGAATGCGCATTGAATAAATGATGGAGTGCCTGCTTCTAAGAGTCTCTAATTAGCATAGTTAAACATGGCTAAATCTGAATAAACGTATTTATATATATATATATATATATATATATATATATATAAATATATCTTTATGGATTTCCAGCTAATTGCAAAGTGCTGTACTTAGCACATGTTGCCTGCACTTAGTGCGTGTGTGTTTTTTATTTTTTTTTGTTGCTTTTCACTGGAAAAACTGTTTAATTGACGGAAAAGCCCGTCAAACGGAAGTGGACATTGAAACAGTTGTTGCCGTTGTGTAGTTTTTTTTTTGGGCGCTGCGCTTATTTGAAATTAATTGTTTTTCCAGCTCGTTTGTGTGTGTGCAGGTGTGCGTGCGTGTGTGTGTGTATGTGCAGCTTGTGTCATGTGGAAGGCACTTGGCTGTGACTTATTGTAAATTGTTGCTTGGTTGGGTCAGCAGCAGCAACAGTTGCATGTTAATTAGTTCAGTTAAGCGATGTGCGTCACGCTTTTTAGTTTTCAATTAGCTGGACGGGCAGGGAGGCAGGCCACGCCCCCAGCACCAGCCTGTCGCCCACAACATGTGGCAATTGGCCAAAATGATTTGGCCTGCAATTATTGCGCGCCTTTTGTTGTAATTAGTTTAAACAATTGGCCAACATTCGCGCTGCGAGCTGCGATTTTGTTGGTCATGGCTAAGACAAACAGCAGCAGCTCGGGATTTGGGACTAGTTGTTGTTGTTGTTGCTGCTGCTGTTGTTGTTGTTGTTGTTGTAATTATGGCTGGCAAGCACTTGAAACCATTCTGTCAAATGGCAAACTGAGTGGAATTGACTTTTGCGCAGCGCCAACATTTACTGGCAGTCCTTGAAACTGACACACACACACACACACACACACTCACTCAGAGACAGACAACTGCTTTTAGCTAGTTTCGCTTTGAGCTGCATGCAAAAACGAGTTAACAACTTGGCAGCTGCCTGCGTTGACTTTTATTCATATTTAATTTCATTTTTATTTCATTTTATTCTATTTTGTTTTTTTTTTCTTCTTATATATTCCCATTTATTAAAATGATTGTTGCTGTTGCTGCTGCTGATTTATGGCATTATGCGGGGGCTTTTAGCCTGGCCCACAAGCTGCCATTGTTCTTGTTCTTGTTCTTGTTCTTGCTGCTGCTTCCGCAATTGCAACAGCAGCCAAAAAGCAACAGCAGCAGCAGCAGCAGCAGCAGCAGCAGCTGAGATTGGCAATTGTATCTAGAGCTCAGTTTTTGTCTAGCTGCAGCTGGCATACATAAGGCTAAGGCAAAAGGCAAAGGCAGGTAGAGCAGGTAGACAGATAGATATGTGTGAGACAAACCTGACAAAAAGAAAAAACAACAACAACTGCAGCTGGCCATTAGCCAGTCACACCATCCCCTCCCCCTCTCTCTCTCTCTCTCTCAACAATAGAGGCTTCAGATTTTGTATCGATTGTCAGGCTGTCAAACAGCTTAAGGGGGCAGGGCAGTGGGGAGTGGGGGCGGCCTGGCAGCCTTAAGCGCTTAATAAGCATTGCAAAGAACTTGTTGGCGGCACGTGAGACGGCTGCCAATTGGAGCTGCGGCGTGGGCAGCGGCCAAGTCGAGCCATTTACATATGCCAAACATGCCGCTAGCATTTCAAGAATTAAGCATAAATATTTTGGTTGGCACTTGTTGTGCTTAGCAGCAGTGGAAGGGGGGCGCGGGGCGTGGCACGGCTATTAATATGCAACTGCAGGCGCTAAGGCTGCCCACAATAATAATAACAGCATGTTGGACTTGCGACATATGCCCAAAAGGCAGTCGAGAGTTCGTTGCTTGAGTCTTTTGTTTTTGGCGCGTCGCCTGCATGTCAAGTGGGCAGCCAAGCCAGCGAGTTGCAACTGCAACTGACAAGTGCCTGCTTTTGATGGCTGCGCAATGCAAATTTTGTGTGTTGGCCAGGGCCATCGCGTGCTTTTGGCTGGCTTTTCCCTAGGGAAAAGAGCAACCAGCCGGAGCCAGAGCTAGAGCTGGAGCCGGAGCCGCAGTCAGCGCGACAGCTTCAATTAATTATTATTGAAAA